GTGTAAACGTGGCTTAGAAAGCAGCCAGGGCTTAGTTTAGATGCAGCCTTTTGAGTTTACGCTTCGCAGATGAGACGACGGACGCTCATGTTTCATGTGGTTGCTTTGATTATATGAATTGTAGAGTAGCAACAGGAGAGATTGTGAGGAATGTCGTCGACAACAAGACAACCCTCAAACCGAGTTGGGTCTTAAACGATCAAACTGTTTTGTAAAGGTCGGGCAGAACTGCACTATACACTTGTCTAGCCAGTGGCAATGAAAAGGACAAAGGTCATTTCAAACGTGCTTCTTGTGGCTCATTGAAGTGAGAAAAGGGTTGGGATGAAACCAAGTTCCCAGAAGCCTCAAACGGAACACAACTACAGTTGAATGTCTGCTTTTGTCAATGGGTTTGCCCTGGCCCCCTCCCAAACACCCACACACACACACACCCCCACACACACACACACACACACCCTTACCCCTCCTTTCTTCAGCTGGCAGCTGGTTTCAACAGACACGTAACCAGCTCAGCCAGATGGACTTTGTAGTAACAGTCAGGCTTCTGTGTGTGTTGGGTTTGGCTTCATATTGAAGTTAGCGTGGTATGACTATGAAAACAAGCAGCTGCAGAGGAACACCTGGAGCCGAGAGCAGGTGCAACTCTGGCCAACTGTGTGGCTTCAGTCTGACAACATGACGGAGACAAATACAGCACAACTGGTTATTATTGTCTCGCTAATGGAGCGGAAGAAGCTCGAATTAGTTCATAACTAAATTGACTATGAACGAACAAAAGGCCATGTGTTTCTGTAACTTCATGTTACAGGTTATGTGGATGACTTTAGACACTATTGGCTCGCTTAATGTTTGATATAATGGTTTTGTATTGATAACCTATACACCTTAAATCTGCAAGTAACTTGTACAACATTTGAAGTATATAATGTGAACGTACTCAAGTAAAGTTCCTCAAACATGATGGAGAGATTTACAGCAGAACAGTTTGTTATTGTCTTTCTAAAAGAGCAGAATAAGCTAGATTTACACATATATATATATATATATATATATATATATATATATATATATATATATGGAATTATTTCTGCACAAAAATGAAGAAGATGCCACCTTCTATAACTTCAGGTTGACACTTTGACATGATTTATTCTGCTTACTTTAAAAAACTGCTTGGCTGTCAGGATATTTAAAAAGTTGCAGATATCAGCAGTACTCTGAGCGCAAATATCTGTCTGTTTATGTAAAAACACGGCGCTGTCAGAGACTGAGACTTATTATCCATAATATATCGTATAATTGCCGCTAGCTGTCTGCCAAGCTGCCGTTTGTTTTAACTCCGTTTGGCAGCTTAAACTCTCTTTTTGTTTTAAAAAACCTACAACGTAAGCAGAAAAACTCACGAGTCGCAGAAAAACTCACGAGTCGCAGAAAAACTCACGAGTCGCAGAAAAACATTCGCTCTTGCCAGTAAATGAAACGTTTTTAACCATTTCTTGTTTCTCTTCTCGTAGGAGGGGTTCTGCTCGTTCTCCCGCACGGCCAGAGGGGTGAGCCAGGACTCGTCCATGAAGACGGCGCTGATGGCCGTCGCTGGGGTCGGCCTCGCCGGACTCACCTTCCTCCTGGTGCGCTAAGCGTCGTCATCATTAACACGTCTCCATCCATGTTCTCATATGGCACAGTTAAGCAGACGGACATCAATGCTGCAAACACAGGCCTAATCTGTAGTGGATTCAGGGTTATCATCTCCAGTCATCAACTGAATGTTTGCACATGCTCACAGACGCATCAATACTGACATTTGCTCCTTAAGATTGTAAACATAATCTCAATGCCTTCAGAAATGTTGGAGTAAGTGGCATTTAGCTTGCATATCTTTAGACAGTTTAATTACTTAAGCACAGGTTTCTGCACAGAATCGTGGTTGCGCTCAATGTTTTGTATTTTCGACTGTGCAGCTTTAAGACTTTCATTTCAGTTATTCCACAGCTTTTGGTTTTGATTTGTTCAATTGTAAGCTGCCTTTTTTATTCATGCGTTTACCTGAGTTGTGTACGTGGTATAGAGCCATTCTTGTGTACAATGTATAAATTAATATATTATATTTATATGAAATGAAACTGTAAGCAGGGGCCCTTTTTTTTCTATCTGACCCGCAGCTAACTCAGTTGTTTCATTGTTCTCATGCGTGTCCTGCATCCATGTGAAACACAACGGTGCTACGATATGTTGCGAGTTGTTTCTCATATCAAACAAACCAGGGACCAATCTGACTTCAAACATATTGCTATTAAAACAAACCGTTGCTATAGCATTTCCCCCCCACAGATCTCTTAAACATTATATTTTTACATTGTTTTGGTCTATTTATTTGTCACTGTTTTTTTTTATAATAAAAAAAGAACCAATAATGGAGTTTGTGATTCTTGTGTGTGCAGAAAAGTCTTTCTTTCAGTGTGTCCTCTTTCAGCAGGTCCGCACAGTAGGAATATGAAATGATCTGCCCTCCTTTCTATATGCAGACATATTTCCATAGATAAGATATGTCCTGCTGTCTGCCTCTGTGCTCCTCTGACCGGCGCTCTGCTCAAGTTACGCAACAGGATTCACAAAACATACTTATGCTCAAAATGTGACATTGGTTTGTCATATTTGAGACAAAAGGATCTGTAATTTGTTCCTTTCGAATTTAAAAACCTGTGCAGAAAATGAGAATCAAAGGACAGGTTTGCCACTAAATTAGCCATTAAACGTCTTTTGAAAAATGTGAACTAAATGTATTTAAGTTAATGGACTGCATTTATAGAATGTGTTAAGGCTGTATGTTGATATAAAACCAGTTTATTTTACGTGCTTATACATGTATAGTAATCCAACATTAACACATGTTACTGATCTTAACGTTATATGTACACACATTGACTTATAATGGCCTTATAACCTTATATTGCTTAATATAAGGACCTTTATACAGAAATGTCAACAAAAAATGGGAAAAGTTTATCAACATTGACTTATATAAACTGACTGAAAGCTTTGTGTCCAAACAATCCCTAAGAAAAGGAATACAGATTAGAAAGACATATTTGAGTGTGTGTGTGTGAGAAACTGCAATGAGGTCGTTGTGCCGGCATCTCTGGCTTCTCATAAGCAGACAAAGAGCCCATGTGTGGGCCTTTACGATCAGAGCGCTGAAAATGATCCTCCCCCCCCACACACACACTATTGTCTCCATTACGATCACAACTCATAGTACAGATAACATTGTTTGTGAAAAAGAGAACCGCGGCAGCTTCTGATGTGGAGATGAGTTTCCTGTTGACAGTTGTTACTCTACCACGCAGTGAAACGCCAACAACAGTGTCGCAAACAGCAGACAAATCTCTTGTTATTATCTGTGTATTTTATGGATTATATAGTGAAGAGATTACATGGGCAGAAGTCCTCTATTACTACTTTCAAAATCAATCTAGAGGGCTTAAAGAGCCAAAATAGATGTTCCTTTCATTGTTACATTGACAGTAAACACAAAGAACAATGGCTCCCTTTAAAGGATAATGTGGTTAATAAATCCCATGAAAAGCCAACAGTGAATTAATCATATTAGCTAGTATTCTGTGTGATATAGTATATTTCTGCGTATCATACATTTCCTTATTCTGATGGACACTGTGTTTTTTTTCTTTAGTCTATGACACATGCTGCTCTGCTGCCACAAATACTCGATAGAAACCAAAACTGTGGTTGAAAAACCCCCGACAGATACACAGTCTGCCCCAATGTGTGCTAAAATAAAAACAGTGCACAGCTGTTTTAGGAAATTATAATATATTATAATAAGATTAACTTTTTTCACGTGCCAGCTGGGAAATGTGTTCTTCCTATTGGTTAGCCTTTTAGTAGTTATATAGAACCATGACCCGTTTTTAAAGATTTATGTTTTCAATAGGAAGCAATAAGCTTAAGGCTACAGACAGGCCGGAGAAGGACCCTGTGAGGGGAGTGAGCGGCGTGTTCAACTCTGTGACCTCCACTCACCCACACAACAACAAACACACAGCTGCTCCTCTTATCACCGCTCAATATGTTCACATATCACAGACATGTGATTGTTTAATCAAGTTCTCAAATATGAAAGGTACTGTTTACTTATATAAAATGCTATTATAAGAGAATGTTTTCAAAAAATAAGATTATATTAGATGCAAATATTATACTTCTACATCACTACTACTTTTATTTGACACCTAGTTATTGTTACTTTGCAGATAGAAATGTAAACACCTATCATGAGCATTTACAGACTTTTTTACGAATAAATATCACCAAAAAACTCAAATGTGTTTTTAAAGCCATTATTTGTATGTATTAATTACATTTTTGTAGTTTCATGTTTATATATTCATATGATGCATTATATTAATAAATAAACTTCTACTGCTCATTTCTATTATTTCCAGAACAGAGATCTAAACATCGGATAAAGTCAGATGAGAAATGTCAGGGTTTTATTTGTTGTCATATCAATCATATTAACACTATATTGACGTATTAAATGTGTATTAAAAAGGGAATCTTTGATATATTATATACATTTATATTTTTAAATGCATCCTTGTCCAATGCTAATGTTTCTGGAATTTTGGAGAAATCTACAAATGCAAATCAGTTTTTTGTGTGTGTATTTTTAGAAGTTTTCATTCACTTAAGGTAAAATAAGACGTGATATAAAAGCTAAACAGCCCAGACTCCAGATTGACCGGTGTACAAATAATTCATGTTTTAGCAGGAAGCTGTGTTTCCGTCCCATTTATCAGATAGTCCTTTTGATATTGATTTCATCTGGTGATAACAGAAGGACGAGGAGGAAGTCAATCGCCATTGACGTGGACGATGGTATCAGACACACAGCCGGCTGTGATCACCACAGAGAGACATTTGACTGAAGTCAGGGCAGCGTAGTCTTACTTTGCTAAAACAACTCGGCACTTCAATAAGTAAAAGTCACCATTCAGTGATGCTTTATTGCATTTCAGAGAATTAGTTTGGTTTGAATTTATTACAAATTAAATTACAAAAGCATAACAATACTTTAAGTTGTTTTAAAAAGTTCAAATATTTGGTCGAGTCAAGTCATTTTTGCTACGTTAATACAATTGCTACAGTAACAAGAAATAGCAGATTTAGTAGTAGGGCATATTTTGCAAATTCGATCTGAAAAGAAGAGTTTGTATTCATCACGATTTCAGATTTAGTGCTCATCAACAAATATTGTATGTCTGACCAACCAAAACATGGTAGAATAGTTTGGCATTTATAAATTCTTGCCAAGAGTTAAATGAGAAGATTATGACCACTCTCTTATCTGAATGGTAACAATATGGCTACAACTAGCAGCTGGTTCGCTTAGCTTAGCATAAAGACAGGAAACAGGGGGAGACATCTAGACTGGCTCTGTTCAGACATAACAAACCTGCCTACCAGAACCTCTAAAGTTCACAAAACTAAACATCTTATATTGTGCCTTGTTTGATCCACATAAAAACCAAAAGTGTAGAAATTACAATTCACTATTTCACGAGGTTGTGTGCCGGACTGTTTCATTGCCTGGACCCGTAACTCTCTGCTAGGGGGCCAGGCAATGAAACAGTCCGGCATATAACCCCCCCATTAAATAGCAAATTGCTGTTTTTACACTCTGGTTTTTGCATGGATCAAACAAAACAGATGTTCATTAGTGAGCTTCAGAAGTGCTGGTAGGCAGCTTTGATTGACAGGAGCCAGCCTAGACGTATCCCCTTGGTTCGGGACATAAGGCTAAGATAAGCTAACCAAACGTTAGCCGTAGCTTCATATTAACATTCAAACATAAAAGTGGTAGCAGTCGTCTCATTTGCTAACTCTTGGCAAAAAAGCCAATGATCTTATTTCCAAAAATGTCAAACTATTCCTTTGTACCATGTGTGGCTTGATAAACAGTTTCATTTGTTTTCAATTCCTCAGTAGGCGACATGTTTTATTTCTGTAAGAGAGCAGTTTCTCAGGCTCAAGCTGGCTGAAAAGCTTCTAGACTTGCATCGTGAAGAGGAGAGACTGTATATATTAAGTATTTCAGATTAAGTGCTAATCAATAAAAAAATCAACAACAATGAAAATTACATTTAAAAAAAAAAAAAAAGATATTGAATGTTTGACCAACCAAAAATGTGTTGAAAAGTCTGGCATTTTATTTGATAAATTGTTGCCGAGAGTTAAATGAGAAGATTAAGACCACTCTTGTATCTGAATGGTAACAATATGGCTACAACTAGCAGCTGGTTCGCTTAGCTTAGCATAAAGACAGGAAACAGGGGGAGACATCTAGACTGGCTGTTCAGACGTAACAAACCTGCCTACCAGAACCTCTAAAGTTCACAAAACTAAACATCTTATATTGTGCCTTGTTTGATCCACATAAAAACCAAAAGTGTAGAAATTACAATTCACTATTTCACGAGGTTGTGTGCCGGACTGTTTCATTGCCTGGACCCGTAACTCTCTGCTAGGGGGCCAGGCAATGAAACAGTCCGGCATATAACCCCCCCATTAAACAGCAAATTGCTGTTTTTACACTCTGGTTTTTGCATGGATCAAACAAAACAGATGTTCATTAGTGAGCTTCAGAAGTGCTGGTAGGCAGCTTTGATTGACAGGAGCCAGCCTAGATGTATCCCCTTGGTTCGGGACATAAGGCTAAGATAAGCTAACCAAACGTTAGCCGTAGCTTCATATTAACATTCAAACATAAAAGTGGTAGCAGTCGTCTCATTTGCTAACTCTTGGCAAGGAAGCAAATGAGCAAATTTCCCAAAATGTCAAAAATATTCCTTTAAATTGGTAACATGTGTGGTTTGATAAACAGTTTCATTTTGTTCCCATTCCTGAGTAAGTGTACATGTGATGTTTTTGAAGAGAGCAGTTCCTCAGGCTCCAGGCAGCTGAACAGCTTCTTGACTTGCATCGTGAACACACGGCATTATTTTTCATGTGTTCATTCATAAAAAGAAGTAAAGATCAGCGCCCAGATCTTCAGAGTTGCTCTTATCATCGCTTGTCTGTATTCACAGTGAAGATAAATGGTCTGATGGCTGACGGTAAAACTCATTTGTCTTTGTTTGAATTTTTCCCAATTATATTTTTTGAATTGTTTTTCTTGTCTTGTTTTCTTGTTTGAATTTCCTTTTGTGCTCAAATAAGCAGTTGTGAGAGAAAGTAGCCATTACAAAACAAACCATTGATCTTGCAGTGTGAATACAGCCAATGCTTTAACCTCCAGCTTTTAACGGTGTCCTCATTCTTTCAAGAACTTCTTGATCAATTTCACCACCTGTTCACAGGAAACACAAAACATTTTGGTTGTTAAGGACTGGTTACAATTCATGGATAAGTTGTCATCTAATCGTAAGCATTCATGAACCCCTCAGGATGAATTGTAATCTCTTTGGTTGATAGTCCAACTCAAAGTCCGACTTCTCGTCTAATATTGCTTAACTTTTGTGATAAGTACTACTTTTATAGTTGGCATGCTATCACAGTAAACTTCAAACACGGTTAACATTTTGAGCATGTTAGTATGATGGTGTCACGGAGCATGACCCTGGTTTATTGTTGAATATTAAATCAAATGGATTTATATGATGTTTCATTAACTGATGAGGTAAATGTGAATTCCCCATCAGTAACCAGGTAATCCTGGCATTTTATAATAACTAGTGATAACGAATGTGATATCGATTCTGCTGACAGTTTAAAAAAAAAAAGTTGTAGAAATGTTTACTGTAACTTGACATCCAAATGTTTTTATGACCCTAAAATAAAACCTTCATCCACTTAAAACTATTCAGTTGTTTTGTTGTAAAAAAAGATGTAGAAAACATAACTGACTGACACACTGACCTCATCCGAAGGAGGGATTTTTCCCGTCTTGAGCTTGGAGTAGATCAGCTGGCCGTTCACAGAAATCTCAAAGCTGTCTGTGGGGTGAGAAAGTACATCAATGTTAATTCATTGTAGTATAATGTATTATTTACACAATAGCATCTGTGTGTAAGTAAAGCAGGTTTATCTGAGAAACAGGAACTATATCACTGACACTACATTCCTGTCAACAAAAGAAACACCAGAACAAAAACAGGTTGGTTTTCAAGTTCTGACACTTAAGAAAAACGACTAAACAATAATATGTTTAGGACGTGACACGAGATACTGTCGGCTAACTGAAACAAGAAACACAGTTTAAAGTCTTTCTTTGACAGTGTTTAAAAAGTCCCATTGTTACCAGTTGTGTAAAGTCACTAAGTAGATTTACTCAAGTACTGTACTGCTACTTTGTACTTCTACCCCACTACAAATCAGAGTTTAACCGTGTACTTTTACTTGTGAAATATGATAAACACTTAAATAATGCTTTAGTTTGAGAGTAACAAGCTAGCCTGCAGTATACAGAGTAATTCAAACTAGCTGCACCTTGACCAGCCTTGATAACACTCTTATGCATCAATAATTATAATCAATCATATCATACAATTCTGAAACGGGCCAATTTGTATAATGAGTGTTTCTACTTTTGGCAATACTTTTGTGCTTTTACTTGAGTCACAATTTGATTGCAGGACTTTTATATGTATTCCTACACTCTGGTACTTCTACTGTTGCTCAAGTTCAAGGTCTGAGTACTTCTTCGACCTCTGGTTGTTACCCATAATTACATTACATTACATTACATTGCATTTAGCTGACGCTTTTATCCAAAGCGACCAGGAAGACACAACCTTGAAGAAAACAGAATCATATAAGTACATCAGGTTTCATAGAGCCAAAACATTTCAAGTGCTACTCAACTGGCTTTAGATAAGCCAGTCCTTTATTAGTATAAAAGTGCTTCGTTAATAGTTCTATCGCTCGAAGTGCAGTCGAAAGAGATGAGTTTTCATGATAAGACTACTTTATGCTGTGTCATTTTCTCTTTCATTATGACGGATGAGTCTGAGTGTAAAAGCAAAAGCATCTTACTCTGCCTCCCGACCCTCCCGGTCACCTCCTTCACTCCAGGAACCTGCCGAATTGCTTCGGCTAGTTGCCCGTAACGGTATGAGTAACCTCATCCGCTACTGCAAACAAAACAAGAAGGAGAAACACATTAGGAAAGACAAACAGATTATTGGCACACAGAAACTCTCAGACCAATAAAGAATGGCTGTATGGATCAAAATAAGCAGATCTTTTACAGCTCAATGGAAAGTAAAGTATTTCTGTGTCCTTTTCTTTTGATCCACAATATATTTATTTGTAAAACCATGAAATACAATATTTAGTTTTAAAGAATTTCAATTTCTGGATTGACACAAAGTAAAGTACAGAAAACTTCAAACAAGAATGCTTCCCATGTTTCACTGTGCGTAGTATGGTGGTATAAACAAAATGGATTCTATTAGATGAAAAGTATTTACATAAAAATACAAGTAGTAAGAAGAATACAATACTAATACAAGCTCAGAAACGGCAATGTTTACATACAATACTTATATAAAATCCTCTTAAATCCTGTTAAGTTAGGATCCTTAACCTAGTATGAGTATTGAGATACGTTTTTTCCAATAGCAACAGGACTACGCCCTAGTGTGAAATAAAACAAAGATCTACCTTCTAACTTTTAAGATGTTATTACAGTGTGTTCTGAGATCATGATACAGTATATAAAGTTGAACACTCACCAGTATTCAACCTCCACTGAAGCCATGGTGGTTGAGAGCTGTTTTCACGGCTGTAAGTCGACGCAGAGCTGTGAGCCTTCAGTCAGGAAATGAGGAGAATAAAGTGCAGAGTCATTGTTTTCCTCTATATAAAAGTACACCGCACCCTGTGGGAGGGGAAACCAGTCTGACTGCCTTCTGAGTCATAGCTAGCCACCAGTTGTATTTATATTCAGTACACTTAGTTTATTTTCTCATGCCGTGTTTAAGAGTTACTTTAATGCTTCTTTAACCAAGTGTTCCCACACCACTTCATTTTCTTCAAATTCAAAGGTTTCACAAATCCCACTTCACTCAAAATGACAAGACAGAGCTTAGTTTGAGACATAGATCAAGGTTCATGACTGTCACAACACTGAGAATTTGTGACACAAAGAGTAATAGCAGGCATTAAAGAAACTCAGCAATAACAATTAAAGAGAGAAACGTCCATGTGTTTAAAAATGCCTTGCTGTTTTAGAGTGACAGGAAGCAATATCGTCTTTTCTAAAACAGCAAAACAATATATTTAGTAAGTTATGTAGAGATTTGAGAAAAAATAACAGCGTAAAATCACTTAAATGTCCTCTCTTGCATGTTAATAAACATATCTTTTCATAAATATATACATTTAAGCACTTTTCTATTTATGAGAATCTTCTAAATCTTTCAAGGCCTCCATTTTTTCCTTCAAAATTCACAAACAGTCAAGAATTTGAAGAACTTCCTTAATTATTCCTTCTTGAGGAGGTTCCTAAATAACCAATTCAAGGACCTTTCAATGACTTTCCAGACCCAATTCACTCAAATTGGCATTGTTATTCCACATCTATTCTGTTAGATACATGAATGACTAGTTTCCTTTGCATTGCACTCTCTTGAGTCAGGTTGCAAGTGAAACAATGACTAACATGTAGACAGCGGCACATTCATTCTGGCTCAAAACATTACACTTCGGTTTCTACCCCTCAAATTCACCAAGTTTCAATATTATAATTGAATTATTATGCTATTCCAAATAGTGCTGGAGGACAAATCATCAACTATCTTTCTGTACAAAATAACCAAAGATCACACGAGGCTTCAGCAGCCGCAGTTAGACGAATAAAGCAGATTTTGTGCACAACTCACACATTCAGTCAATGTCCACCTGCTGCAGGAGAGCATGGAAACAGTGACTCTTTCCAAAGTACATACGGAAAAGCTGTATAAAAATCCCTCACCCGTTAAGAATGAGGAAAAGTGACTGTACCGATGTAGAATTGAAGCCAAGGGCCAATCATCAGTGTCCTCAGCTCACCTATCAGTGTATCTAACAGCTGAGCCTCCATCAGTTTGGTCCGAGGCAGATGAACGGGGGTTATTGTGGGGGATTTCAAACCCCAGCAGCTGCTGTCCCTCTGAGGAATCTGTTCACACAGCAGCCTCTTTGTCTCCTCTGCACAGATACGTTCAAGAATCCACCAGCAGGACGATCTGCAGGACTGCACTGCCCCACTGATGATGGACTCTGTGCAATGGCAACAATTCAATTAAAACGTATTTATGGTGATATGAGGTATGCAAGCCTGAACTATATAGACCTGGAAACGTTATTTCGATCTCTCTGTCTGTACACATAAACTGAAAGATTGACATTAAAGTTGACTTTGAGACATCAATGTGGACACAACATTTTACGATGGCATTTTTATTTTCTCGATTAATCATTGATTAAATAAAAGGTTGAATTATGTCAGAAAGACAAACAAAGAGCACCCACTCTTGACATCTGGGCCCCAATGAAGTTTGTTTTTTGTGCTTAACAGACTCAGAACGTTTCAGCTGTATTTTATACCAAATATAAGACATTTGGAAATAACCCCTGCAGATATAAGTGGCTGTTTTTCTTTCTTCTTAAAGCTTACTACTAAATATGAATTTGATTTAATCTGAATAATTGTCACGCATTGAAACACAGACATGATTTAGAAACGATGTTGCCAAAGCTTTTTTAACATTTTATTTGTTTTAAAATGATGTCCAGTACAAAATGTTTACAGTAATACCCTTACGTCTGTCAGTTCCCCTGAATAAAATATTTTTAATCTGTTCAGCTCATGCCAGATAACAGTATCTATAAGATACACTAGATTGTAATTTGCTCATACAATAGTTGATGACAAAGATATAGCAATAGTACCTTTGTAACAATAAAAACTATCAGCAATATGTTGGTGGACACACTCTCAATACAATAACATTACATACATTGTTCTGTAAAAGTTGCATTGCAATCTGCCCATATTTTACAAGATTTTCAAATTCATGTATATCTGTTCATTAACTAAGAGACAAAAGGTTGTGATACAAGTCTTTACACATTATAAAAATGATGTGGTGTAGCAGTGGCTCAGCAGCCGTCCTCTGAAGCTGCTGTAACAGATGTACAATGCACTTAGATGTGTTCTTTTTTTTTTCTTAAAACAAGGCAACTTCTCAAACTTCATAATAAATAATAAACCCTCTGCAACAAAACGGTACCTGTGGATATATCCAGTTCGTATATATATATATATTTTCATAAACTTGTACAAAATATGTTTAAAAACATCTTCTCCTCGTGTATTTTTACTTTAAAAAAAACAAAACAAGGTTAAGATGGTTGAATTGTGTTCGACAGCGTTTTGGCGGGATGGACAAAAGCATGACACAGTCTGCATGCACTGGTTTCCATGGAAACTCAGGTGTGATTCTTCCAGTTGATTGGGTGCGCCTCTCTGCTCCTTGGCTTCGACTAAACATTGATCTGAAATAGCGTCCTTGACATGATTCTCTCTCGCTCGTTCACTTCCTCGTTCCGATCCGCTCACAGCATCAGCCTCATTGATTGGCGGGACTCTTTCTCTTTGACCCCGCCCCCTGGATTCGGAGGGTCCTCCTGTGGGAACGTCACCTTATCCGGGGTGTAGTCATTACGCTTTATATCTGGGAGGAGAAGAGGAACAATATGTTGCAAGAGATTAAAATTGTTATCTTGTGTTTGTATTCTCTCATTCAATGTTTATGCTACAGCTGGGCAATAAAGACATTTGTATCAATATACATCCTACATTTTGGATATCGTTATATTGCACAAGAGTCTTTTCTTGCTTGTTTTTTAAAGGCTACGTCACAGGAAATGGATGTCATTTCCTGAACTGACTAGGCTGTTCTAGCTGTTCAGTGTTGTGCTATTAAAATACAAGTGCAATGACTAATATATACCGTTTACTCTGCTGACGCTGGCTGGTACTTCAGAAAACACTGCTGAGAGATGACTGTGCTATTTGCAATATACCATTTTTAAACACTATTATTATTGTCATTTGCTTTCTCAATGCTTTATGTTCAAATACTTTACTTATTTTTGTTACCATGAGTGAAAAAACCTATTAAACTAAATCATAACTCAAAGTAGAGTATTTGTATGACTGGAGACGCATCTGGAGGGAGTCATTAAATCATCCGAATGCTCTGGTTGAGGTTGGAGCGTCTGAAGTCTTTTGTTCTAGGAATAAGCTGACTGAACAGCAGCTGCTCCCGACGCCTCACCTGGGAGTTTGAGTTTGCGGCAGCAGGAGTTGCAGTGGTGTTTGGCTCTGAAGTTCCTGATGGCATCATCCCCCAGGTTGGCCGGTCCAAAAATCATATCATAGGATCTGCAGGAGTCACACAGAGATCAGTGAGTGCAAACACAACAGAGAAAGCAGCAGATAGAGTAGGAAGTGTATCAATATGGTGAGGCTGCTACTGGTTAATATGTTTGTTGTGTATTCATTTTACAATCATTTCATTAATTAATACTTAAGTCTAGCCCAGAGTTCCCGTTAGAATATTTTTTCGCCGGTCAACATGTCCGTTAAAGTTGAAATCTTCCGGACAAAATGAGAAAAGTGCCGGTCAAAGGTCTTCTTTGTTATTTATTGAGCTTTAAAACAAATTGATATGATTCAATATTAAACTAATTATAGTAGATTAACTACATTATTCAAAAGTGTTCAGTAACTTACAATAACACGGGAATAATAAACGGAGCGCTCTCCCTCTCCTGACAGCCCGTCAGTATCATGCAGCTCGAGGATCAGTGATGAGTGACCCGACAGTAAAACTAAACATATCTATAACTAGTTTAGGTAGTTTGAGAGGTCATTAAAATAGCTACGTGTGATATTCTAACCTGAAGTGTGTGTTTTGTTCCGCTCACCGCTGCATGTGATCATGCAGAGCTGCGTGTCGACTCGTCAGCAGCAGCTGATCTCTCTCTCCCGTCAGATTAGACTTCACTCGCGTTTATGTCCATATCGATCAGATCCAGCTAGTTCTAGCTAATGATAGACTACCTGCTTATTAAAAGACACCTAAACAATAAGCGTCGCTATGCAACCGGGTGAGGCTGCAAAGTATAGCGCAGCGCTAAACGGAAATGATTTTGAACGGACACTTTGACCGGAGAGATTTAGATTTGCTGGTCTTCAGCATATTTTACCGGTCGTAGTCCGGTAATTACCGGCTAACGGGAACTCTGGTCTAGCCTATAAAAGATGGTCAGAGAAAGGTGAATCATTTCAAGAATTTCTTTAAGTCCTACATGTTCCTTAAAATTCGGTTTATGATTGCATTAAGACAAAAGCATAATAAGGCAAACAAGTAAAAAGCAGCAAATTACGAGTCACACAGAGATGCTCAATAAAGTGTCGCACAGGATTCAGGAAAAGTGACATTTAATGATCAGCTTTTGACTAACGATTGGCTTAGCTTTACAATATTGAGCCAGAAGAAGCTATACAAATATTTCAAAACGGTGAATGACATGTGTGAGAGCTCACTTACCCCTTCTCACCGCTCGTAATAACAGATGGATCTGTCAGAATCTCGCCGACCCCTACACACACACACACACGAAAAAGCTTTATTGTCATGATACAAAATCGGCTAAGTCTACAGGCAGACAATGGAGAAAGGACTTTCATTCACACAAATCTTTTTCACATGCATGAGAGAGGGGAACATCTACACCTAAGCCATTTCCATAACTCGTGAGTTTTTAAACCGAGGTAAAAAAGCTATTTAATTTAAAACAAACTTGACTCCATTCAAAGGGATTCAGTTTGGTAACGTAAGAGTGCTGATTGTTTACCCTGCAGGTCGAGCACCAGCAGCTCTCCGCGGGTGTACTCGTAGGACCAGTGGCTGAAGGCCAGCATGGTTTCCTCCAGCAGGTTGGTGGGCACGATCTCATCTCCGTTGTTGTTGTTGAACTTCCTGAACTCTCCGGTGATGCACTCCTCTATCGCAAACCACTGTCCGGCAGAGTGACAGTAGAGCAGATACACCTCCAGAAACCTAAACACAGCGGGGACACAGGTTTAACGCCAACAGGACAAAGAAAATCCTCCAAAATGTTTAATTATATTTGAGGTTTGAACAGCAAAGAAAAACAGCCTAGCATTTAAAGTGACTCAAGGTATTATGCATTTAGAAAGGTAGGCAAAGGAACGTTTACCAATGTGTTGATGCTTTAAAAGGAACAGTTTGGCTTTGTGGTAAATGCACTTGTTCACTGATTAAATGAAATCAATAATACTATCAATAAGCTTGGCACTAAATAGTTGAAATAGTGTGAGAAGCGCGTAAATCATCCGTTGTGTTGCCAAACCACAACCAGCTACACAACGCGTATCTGTGCATGACATTCATACCGAATCAGATCAATATAGGAAAATAAAACCGATGTGAGATATGTGGATGAATTCTGCCACAGCCTGCGTTTGTTCTCACCTCGGAGAGTAAGGGATCGTCTTCGGCCTGATTTGGTTAAAGGCAAATGTCAGTTTCTGAGCAGCTCGTTGTTGTTGAATTTCCTGGAGTGACAGAGAAAAGACATTTAAAGTAAAGCTTTGTAACATCGCCACAATCAAAGATTCTAGCAACAGTTTTACTAGTTTTTATTTAGTCTTCATAGCTAAAATGATGGACTTTGATACTTTCTAAAGAGAGATGACAACCTTTTGTGTTAACGTGGCGGTACCCAATTGTTTGATACATAACGTGTGTAAATCCCATAAAGCTCTATCAAACTAAAGACACAGTTACAGGTCGGACAGGGTCTCAGAAGCCTTCGCTCGTACCCTGAGACAGAGGTGCAGCACGGTGTCTTCCTTGTAGATGCTCTGCCAGGTTTGGACCACCTCTGGAAGGAAGGATTTGACTATATACAGATGTCCTGGTTTGAGGATGTCGTACTCTGACCAGGTGCAGAGCACCTTGAGGGCCCGCCTGAGACCCCCGCCCATCTCCTCCTTGCTGAGAAACTCTATTTTGGCACAGAGGCCCCGCTGGGCCCAGGAAGACATGCTGTTGTTGATGGTGTTGGGGGAGCTCTCCTCCAGCCGGTACACCGTCACCGGCTCTCCTGAGGAACACAGAGCCGCAGGTCAGACAGAGCCGCAGGACACACACACACACACACACACACACACACACACACACACACACACACACACACACACACACACACACACACACACACACACACACACACACACACACACACACACACACACACACACACACACACACACACACACACTACACACACACACACACACACACACACACACCACACACACACACACACACACCACACACACACACACACACACACACACACACACACACACACACACACACACACACCACACACACCACACACACACACACACACACACACACACACACACACACACACACACACACACACACACACACACACACACACACACACACACACACACACACACACACCACACACACACACACACACACACCGTTCCTTTAATGATAAAGGAACGCTGCTTGTTCAATTCTGTCTTAAATCAAAACGCATCTTAAAACTTCTACTGCTCTACAGAGTTTGTGCAAAGAAAGGCAGAAGATACTCAAAGCAGAATAACATTGATATCGGTTTACTGAGTGCTTCCTCCTTAGCAAACATTTGCCTACTTCTGCATCAGCTGCAACATGAACACTCAAATGGTCGTCATAAGACATTTGTGTTGTAATACTAATGTTTAAGTGGTTATTTGAGCCAATACCTCTTTGAAATCGAGCTCTTAGGCTTGGTATGTGTTTGATTTTCTTTAATTGCTGTTCTACTGATTAAGTGGACAATGCAATGACGAGGTACGCCCGACACTGACATTCTTCCAGTGCACAAACCAGTTGTCTCCATCCGTCCAGTTCAAAACGGGCCCAGAGACAGTCGTGTGGGTGCGTCATGAGTCATGAGACTGTTCAGCAGAGGAGGAAGGAAACAACTTTGACTGATTGCAAAAAAACTTCAGTTCCTCCTGAGCTTTTAGATCAGTTGTTTGTTTTGGTTAGTCATTATCTGCACTGACCAGTCAAAACTAAATAAGTACAAGCACATGCTGGAGTGCACTAGACATATTGATTAGGATTTTTAGCAATAACTTCATATTTAGTAAGAAATGAGATTAGACCAGAATCACTTTGTCTGTTTTAACGATTCCACTGATGAGATTGATTTCGGTTTAGCTGGCTACATTTGATCACCATATTACAATGAATGTAATAAGACATGTTTATTAAACTAGCCAATTGGTTCAAAGGGCCAGGAAATCTAAACAATAACAATGTTTTAACAACAAGTTTGTCTTTGGATCTTAATGTTTTATTAGGTTTCATGTAAGGATTTTTACAATTGCTATAAACCAGCGGAGCAGCTGTTTTCTGTAATTGCTAAATATTGAGCTTAGAGCTGCAACAAGTTGTACACTGTGTAGTAGTACAGGTAACTTGTTTACATTACATCCCATTAGAGAAGGCTTTATATTTCAAATATTGCTAAATACTGTTATAAGATGAGACTTTCAAATATACTTATAACTTGCGACATTGTGTTCTAACACAAACTGTAATCCATGTGTTTGTTGCAACATATTTATGGGTAAATACCAGTCAATGGTAAATACTGAACAACCACCTCCTGACTGCACCATGATGACATATCTAGAAACTGTTGCGTGTATTTACACTCCGATATATTCACAGCAACTGCTCGACTGCCACTTGAAACTGTAACATCGCAAACTAAAAACTGAATAGTGAAGCCAAAATAATCATTTCAAGAAAAACAACAACACACAAAAGACACAGTTTGGCTGTGAAAACCGAATGCAGCAGGTGTGGAGAGAGGAAACAATGTCTGCCTCCAAACTTCCTCATTCTCCAACCGCCTGCCGTCTCTGTATAAAGTGTCTGCGGTGTTTTCACCTGATCCGACATGTCTGTGAAACATGTGCTGTGACCCAGACTCACCTCTAGGGGGTACCGGGGTGAAGGGGATGCTCTGAGACAGCCTCATCAGGTTGTTGCGCTCCACAGCTGCAGGAGGAAGAGTATGTGCACTTGTTAATATTGTTTATATCTTCACTTTGTTTTATATAATATTTTATATTGTAGCATCGACTAAGTTGTCTTGTGTCTTACCTGTCAGAGAGAAACCATTATTTATTAATTTGTTATTATCATACATGTTACCTCCTTGTGTCTATTAACCTGATAACATGTTATATTTGGCTGCTTGTACCTTTTAATGTTTGTGACAAATAATCTGAGGGGAATTTCTTATTGTTTGTTTTTAACTTGTCATTTTGTAAAAGCACTTTGAGCTGCATGTGCTGTACGAAAAGTGCTATATCAGGGTTCCTGCAGGTTTCACCAAATCAAATGTAAGACTTTTTAAGACCACTTTGAATAGAATTTAAGACCTATTTCACGGCAAGAAAGTATGAAGGAAAATTGCTATGAAAGAGGAAATACGTCCCATAATTACTTACAAAGTAAATGTATTCATGTTCAACATAAGAACGATGACTGAGCATAACAGCATAACAGTACAGTAGTCAGAGCTCTGCTGTCTTCATGCTGTTGTAGGATTGGTGTTTAGCTACGGTATTTAGCGTCCACAGCACCTCCGCTTTTAGGGTTGACGTAGACTCAAACGTCGCCCGGAGGTCCCGGTGTTGTTGCGGGAGTAGCTGCACTAGCTAACGCCGCATTAGCTAAACAAATGCTAATTTTTGTTTGCAAAAGGTGCAGCGAGCTTCAAACACGTTCCCTCCACTGGTTTCAACCAAGCACCACATTCGATGTTTTCCAACTAAATGTAAGACTTTTTAAGACCCCGCGGGAACCCTGTATATAAATAAAGCTTTATTATCATTAATATGCAAACAGGTTAAGACAAACACAGGAGAGGAATCAACAGAGGTGACAATATTTGGTGTGATTATTGTTTGCTCTTAGCCTCTCGACCACAGACAACACTCAAGTTTTAAAAAAGCATAACTAGATATGTAGCATCATTGATTTAGCAAACTAAAACAATACAAGAAAACACAATGAAACACCATATTCCCCATTTCTCACCTGAGTACATGAAGCTTTCTATGGGCTTGAATGGAGAGCCAATAGCTATGGAGAAAAATAGGAGAACTGTTAATCTCTTTAAATAATTAGTTGATGACATTTAATGAACATGACGATGAAGAAATGATCCAAGAAAATCTATACAACAACATGAGCTGTTCTAGCGTTCACCAGCAGATGTCTCCATTTCACAATTGTGCTTGCATTTAAATGTTCTTAAAGTTCTTGGACATTGTTTTTCTTCTCATAAATAAGAACAAGATCAAGGACAATACTCAGGAAGAAATAGACCATCAACTCCCTGCAAATATCTTTTTCATTCTATTGGTCTTTCTGTCAAAGTATTGCATGCAGATGTATGGCTTGAGTGTGTTGTGATGTGTGCTCGGTCAGTGTGTGACTCACAGTCCTTCCTGGCTCCCAGGTGGCTGTGTCGGGGCGTGTAGAGAGAAACTGAAGCTGCTGTAATCACTGAAGGAGAAGAAGAGCACAGTGATGCTTGAATCCAGAAACACGAGTTAACATACATCAAGCATTACTCCGCAAAGTTCACTCACTGTATTAAGATTTTCCATAAACAAAGTTACAAAATACTTCGAAAACAGTCCATATTCAATGCAATTTAAGCAAGTATATGTATTAACTTTTCTTATCTGGAATGAACCTTCTAAAAGGATATCATATGTGACCTGCTCCATCGAAATCAGTCGCATTGACCCGAAGACACATTTTGAGTTGTATACACTGTTGGAAAGAGGAGATTCCTAGCTTTCTAATGATATCAGGATTGTTTTTGTACTCCAAATATTAAGCGAAATATGTCACATTATATAATGACTGTCACCGAGTCATCATTTTGAGAAAAAGGCCTTTAAAGTTTCCTCTTCTCTGGAATCCATCGATCTGATTGATTATTAGTGGAGCAAATGATCAAAATACTACGGAGGGAAGATATTTTAGTTTGGATTACTGGTCTGGGGGAAGCTCGCGAGTGTGTGTGTGTGTGTGTGTTTGTGTAATTTTGCGTTTGTGTGTATTGTGTTCACGAGAAACATCGGCTGTTGTTGTGCTTGCTGTGACGTTAAGTTACTCCGTTCTCCGCTTGTAATTATGCCGAAGCTTCAAAGTTGTATTTATCATCTGAATTTGCCGAAACAAGTTTAATATTCTGAAAGCCAAGACTTTGTTTAATTGAAATTAGATGAAAACAAACTGTAACGGACCCTGCCGTGTTATCTATGATTACTATACTCTTACATTCATAATTTCAGCCGGAGGGAGGGGGGGCGGCGCTGCGGAAGAGCAGATTGCGAATGAGGTGCCTGTCATCTTCCCTTTACAAGCTTCAAACATGTATTTATCGTGTGATTTTGGAAATAAAAGTTTCATATTCTGAAAGCCAAGACTTTGTTTGTTTAAAATCAAACAAAACACCCGAACCCCGAACAAATAGTTTTTTACGTAAATCCACGTTTATTTTGAAATGAGCCGTTGCGACTTCCGACTGATTTCGATAGAGCGGGTCACAGATTCTGGATGTAACATGGCACCTTTTCCATTTTGTTGCTAAAGGCAAATCATAATAAAGCCACACTATCCTTCATTAGATCATTATAGATGGTAGTAAGGCAGCCACTAGAGGAAAGGTCAAAGGTCACTTTGATAACAGCGTCTGTGGAGATGCTGCTGGACCAGCAGAACGAGCCGGACCGAACTAACTCACCGTTGGGTGATTCTTCCCCAGGGGCTCGTCTGACGGAGAACAAAAGAAACAAAACAACATTAGTTTAACAAAAACATGTGAGCTTGTGTTCTGCATTAACACACAGTAGGGTGGAGAGAATAGTGGGCGTCATTGAGTGCTGGCTTCAAATAAGTTCTAACAAATATGTATCAGTGCAAATGAAATCAGAAATAAAATAATCTGACTTCAACAGACATGTTCAATTATCATGTGCACTATTACTTATATTTGCAATTTGACATTAAACTACTTTTAAATATCATTGCCAAAAGAATGTTACAAAAGTGACATTCATCTTATTGTTATTTGTGCTAGTATCACTTGTAGATGTAATTCACTTTATAGACATTTTTGTTTACTCAATTTACTAAGTTTTTTTTTTTATGCTTGGTTTCGGTATTAGTCATAGGACCTTTGTGTTTTTATTTTAATATTGAGAATTTTGAGAAATGTCTGGTACAAGATATTCAGGGTGTGTGTGTGTGTGTGTGTGTGTGTGTGTGTGTGTAAACAAAGACATCTTGAATGAAATCAGTGGTAGGACACTTACAGGCTGCTGGCTTGGGCTGACTTGCCCTGAACTCTCTCCTGGTGGAGAAATAAGAAATGGTTAAACAAAGACAGAAAGCAGCATTAAAGTCGTTTGTATCTTTGTACTCCTGAAAGTACACACAGTCTTGTCTTACCAGGCCTGCAGGCCGGGGGTCCTCGTGGGCGAGGATGTCTTCAGCTGACGACCGGCTCCTGTCCCTCTTTGTCAGAGCTACAGGAAATAAACAATCATAAACAATAAAAACATACTCATGTGGGGCTTCCACAGACAGCGCCTCAGACTCAGGGACATACAAGGCTTTGTGCAAATATGTATTATAACTGTGTTTTAAATTGAACTCATATATGCCTTAAACCCTTACACCATATCAGTAAATATATATATTTATACTAACATGCAGATACCGCAACCTTTATCGACTCTTTGTGCTTTCTGGTTGGATGCAGACTACAATGTACTATGTATTAGGGATGGGAATTTGAAAGCAAATGTATAATCGAATATTCAACCCCCAAAAAAACGGTTAACCGATTAACCGAAATGTACATATGCTATAAAAAATTTTTTTTAAAAAAGGAATTTTTTTTACAAAATAAATAAATAATAATTTAGAAAAATAAATAAATACATGTTGTAATAAGTATAGAAACCAAGTCGAATTTGTCAAATTGATTGAACTGGTGATCACAGTTTGAACAGTTGACAGCTATAGGCCTACAGCTTTCATGCTTAAAACATAACTTGGTTTTTAAATGAAAGAGGGATCATACACCAACAACATAACGGGTCAGGTTAACGTAACCCTATTACAACAGAGATCAACAACCTGTAACAGGGCCTGTGCACAGAATGCAGCTATTCAATACTCATTCTTGTTTAAGAATATGAGCATGTCTACTCAGGGGAGAGGCGGTGCGGAGGCGATTCACAATCAGGCCAGCTGTAGAGAAGACCCTCTCAGCTGGAATTTGGTCATAAGATGAGGTTTGAGTCTGCGTGATCTGCGTGTAGGGAGGGGCAGCAGCCATATCATTAGCTAGAACTAGATCTGATGGATTTGGACATAAACGCGAGTGAAGTATAACCGGACGCGAGAGAGAGAGATCAGCACCTGTAGCTCTGCCCGCTGTGAGGGACCGTGAGCAGAGCAAAACATACCTTTAGACCTAACACACTTAGCTATTGCACTGTCGTATACATTCAATTATTCCATAATATGTAATGAACTTAGGCACACCTGCCAAAAAATGTTTAAAAAAAAGATTATAATACAAATATTCATAACTCATATTCGAATACCTGAATAATGTCGAATAGTCGATTAATCATTCCCATCCCTACTATGTATGTGCTATTGCAAACAAGTTGAATCTGATCTAATTATTAATATCTGTATAATAAAAAAACATTTTCATATTATTGTTTTTTATTTGTTGTGTGATCTTACTGGATTCAGGATGGAGGGAAGCAGGTTCTCTGTCGAACTCTGTGAAGCCGGCGTAGGAGTTGACTGATCGGATGTGAGCGGGACCTGAAGGCAGAGCCTGAGACACATAAAGGAGTGAGAAAATAAACCTTATTCTGAAACACTGTAACAAAGTATGGCTGCTATAAACAATATGGTTCACAAATACATTCATGTTAGGCTAAATAAGCATCTGGGAACTACATTTATTAAGACGATGCCGCTAAAAAGACATGTTACTCACACATGCACTCAGCTGCAGTCGGCTCTCTGACACCGGGCTCTGCCTTGAGCTGGATCTCTCTTTGGGAGCCGAGAGCTGGAGGTCCATACTGTCTTTATGTCCTGAAACCAACACATATGTTTAGCTTTTGTAAGGCCATTCAAACAGCTATGTCTGTCTGCAACATGACCAGAGTAAAATACTTTATTTATGTTTGTCTCATGTCACAATATCCCACCACAACATTCAAAGAATCATCATAACCAAAAGTGAATCCTCACCTCCACCTGCCAAACAAAACCTTAATCAATCACAGTTACAGTTGAAAACCTCAAGTCAACCAATCATTCGTGCTGTCACTTGACAAGAACACTTCAGAAACACCAGGACCAGAGAGCAACCAGACAGGAGGACAGAGAGAGGAAAGGAAAAGGCAGCTAGAGAGTCGACTGGTTCCTGATCTGGAGATGGAAAGGCCCGAGCACCCGGCAAACGCAGTCCGAACGTAATCTCACACTAAAACTCAAACCTCTCGTTGAACAGCCAGGCGCTGCAGGAGCCGACCGTCCTGACATATTCCATTCCCTTCTCCTTTGTCTGTGGGGTTTCCTGGGTGCCACAGCAGGGGCCTGCACACAAACTGGCTTGCTGCCGTTTCCCTGAGTTTGACCCCGTGATGATTCAGCTTCAGGAGCTGGTGGGACTTCAGTGTCTGTGCTCAGAGAACCGGATCTGCCCTCGTCGTCGCAGAAGGCCTCGTTCACGTACCCTAAACCTCCCTCCCCTTTTCTCTCCCCCCCTTCTAACCCCTCTGTGTTTTCTGGCTTCGCAGTGCAAGCAGGAAAGCAAGCAGGCTGAGCAGAGCCCGAAGTCTTAGAGACAACAACAACAGTCGGATACACACACACACAGCTTTCCCCCTCCTCTGAGATCTCAGCATCAACACTAGTTTCACCCTCGGTCTTGTACTTACCCACAAACGCCCCAAACTCTACAGTGGTGCAGTCTGGCTGGTAAAGCCTAGCTAGGGCGAGTTCTGGGTGGCTGGAGCCGCTGGGCTGGGCTGGGGTGCTGCTGAGGTGGAACTGGGCCCCCGGGGAGGGCACACAGGGCAGGCTGGAGGGAGAGTCGGAAAAGCCCGGCTCCTGTGGACGGGTCGGTTTATTCCGGGTGAGAGAGTGGCCGCGGAGACGCAGCTCCGGAGGGGAAATGGCCACAGCACTTTGGACAAAGCCACAGGAGCTGCCTGGGAAGACGGCCTCTGCAGCAAAGTGCCCAAGCCCAAACAACCCCCTCCTCTCTGGACTCAACGCTGGGTTCATGGTGGGGACCAGCCCCACACTGTGTTTGCCCATCATGGATGTTTTGGAGTGGGGCCCAGTGTCTGAAGCCACAGAGCCGATGTTGGGGACGACGTTCTTGGAGAGGCTGAGCTCCCGGGTGATCTGGTTGTGGACCTTGCTGGCCTCTGATGCCCTCTGAGCAGTGAGGGTCTTCAGCGTGTCCACAGTGAGGGCAGAGAGGTCCTGCAGGTGTCCGATCTGAGAGTCCAGAGTGTGCAAAGAGCGCTTTATGAAGTTCACTTTGTTCCCGACCTCCTTCAGCTGCATACACATGGTCTCAACCCTGGAAATGACATTAGGTTCAGTTAGCCACGGCTCAGCTTGTGCTACCTACTATTGTTTATGTTGAATACAATGTTAACACTATACTATTGAAGTAAATAACCGGTCTTCTAGTATTGAGGGCGGCGTAATAAGGTGCTGGATACAGGTATGCTCAGACGGACAGAGTGAGGAAAATGTGTTTTTTGTTACATTAAAGCATATTCACATTTTCTAAGGAATCCAAAATACCAGCATGAACATAATAATGAACATGACCTTTAATGTTAACAAGTTGTGTTTTGGTCAGTTCGTGACTGTATGAGAAGGTCCATGTTTTGTGTGATTCAGGCACAAGGATGGGCATGCCGCTTTGATAGACTTCAAGGATAAAAGCATTAATGCATTCTGATGTTTAATACAGAATCTAAAAGTTACTTTTGGTTGTTTACAAGAAAAACTCCACTGGGCACCTTTAACCCTTAGATGCCCGAGTGACTGGACCCTACACTCTTCCATAAGTGGGTCTAAAAGGACCCGTATTAGAATAGTATGTGTTTTTATGCCATTTTGGTTAAGAAAAATCACTTGTATAATATTTAGTATTATATTTTGGATCACACTAGAAATATTTTACATTTTCTTTACATTTAGAAAAAAAAACGTTTTGAACATATTGATGCAAAGATCTCCTCTATTCTGAGACCCTCACAGTATTCCAGTCCCTTTTCAAAACTCATCTCTTCTCCTCTTGTCTACTCATAGCCCCCCCCCCCATCAATCCATGCCAGTTGATCAAGTTTGATAGTCCTATACCCCCCACCCCAACCTTCCCTTATATTGAAAGCGATTTTGAGTCCATGTAAAATAATCTTCCTGAGAGGTGTCACTTGTGATGTAGTCTGTGTGGTCCACAGTGAATGTATTCCTGACAGCGACAGGTGATAAGAATCAAAGGTTCCCATAGAAAAAGCATGCGGGTCATTTTTTACCCACTTATGGAAACTTAGGGTAGAAATACAAAAACTACAATTTCTTAAATGTATAACATTTAAATGGCATGATATCCAAAACATGTTTTTTGAGGAATAGCTGGAATATGAAATGATAAAAAAAAAGTACTTACAAAGATACTTCAAGAAAACCACCTCTCCGGATCAAAAAATACCCACTTATGCATCTAAGGGTTAAGAAGGCCAGTCTCACCTTTCTGAGGTTAGACGGATGCGCTCCTCACTCCCCGAGTGAAACTGATCATCCTTTTCATGAAAGTACGTCTCCACACACTGCTCCTCAAAATCATGAAGCTTCTTTTGGTCCTCCTCTGTGAGAAACAGCTCTGAAAGAACGTAAACAGGCGTGTTAAGGTTAGAAATGTCCAGAACGTGCAGTAAAGCAGGAAATATTTGTCAAATTGTTTTTCACGCATAAAGTATTTAGATTACAATGTTGAAAAGACAACAAAGAAATGTATCTATTTATATGAATGGCATCCTTTATCAGCATATTTTTAATTATACACATTTAGGAGATTTGATGCGATGATGCAGAAAAAGGTCGTACTTGGTCCGTAGGTATGCTCCTTCTTTCTCTTCCGACACATACAGAAGAGGGAGTAGATATGGCAGAGGAGGATGAAGGGGGGGGGGAGGACCGGCTTCTCATGGTAGGCCATAATGAAGTGGTAGCGCTGGTACTTCCACACCAGATTAGAAATGGACTTCACTTGCAGATACACATTGCTGGAAAGAGAGTACAGACATTAAACCCAGGATGATGTTGTTGTTGAGAATGTCAGGCATATTTCAGAATTACAGGGAGCGTTTACCCAAACATTTAAAATCTAAAAGTCTGCTCTGATTGGTTAGCTGGACGGCACTGTTGTGATTGGTTAACCGATTAGAGATGTCCCGCACCTTAGCCTATCATGTACAATATGTTGGCGCACTAGCTTATACTAGCGCCAGTGTTACGTTATTATGATACAGAAGGAAACAAATGAGTCCAATGGAGGCGTGTCAGATAGAAACTGCCTCTTGAGGGAACTTTGGGAATTTAGACTTTGCAGACCTTTTACATGCACACAAACCTACAGTATACATCACACTACAGGAAAGGGAAAAGCACAAAGAGCTAAATAGGGGCTTTTCCTTCTGGGAGGTGATGAGGTTGGTGGGAGTAGTTTGGTAGAAAGAAAATAGCTCCTACATGAAACTGATTATAAAACCCACCAGTTATCGAAGTAACCGGGTCATGATTTCTAAAAGGAGACATTGTTGTTTGAATTTTGAGAATGCAAAGTGCCATGTAGTTCCATTTGAGAGAAGGCACACATCTCTACGGCTGACATCTCCAACACTTAATTTATCCAGATTGATAAATAGAACTATGAGTAAAGGAAAAATACATATAATATACATTAGGTTAAGTATCCCTATCTGGTTATAACACCAGTGGTGTAGTGGTCGTTGGACGCGGGGGGTCGCCGTACTCCCACTTATTTGGAGCCCCCACTTTGTTGAAGCATGATTTTTTTTTTTTAATAGTCTAATAAATATAAAAGCATTGCCAGTGTTATCAGTTGCAAGTGTGTATTTGTTGTAACAATGACGAAAACTTAACCTACATTTCACAGTAATTATAATAAAAACGTAGCTCAAGCATTTATGCAACTTGATTTGAAGCCTGTGTGTGTGAGGGGCAGCACCGTGTGTGTGTGTGTGTAGGGTGACCAGGTGTACACCATTTTTATCATTTGTCCCGCGTCCCACAAATTGAGACTATGTCCCGCATTTGAGTGACAGTCGCGCAGAAAGGTAATCATGTAAGTTGCGCTGACAGGCGACAGAGGTCCACAGAGGTTCAGAGTGAACCCCCCCCCCGTTGACAGTTCACGAGCGCGTCCATAGTGTCTCCCCCCCACGTCCACCCAGTAAAAACATCCCCACTACACTACTGTATAACACATAACCAGAAACTGGGCAAAGATAATGAGTAAACAGTATTCTGGATACAGCACTGGAATGTTGTGCACTTACTTGAAGAAGGCGATGAGGAGGTTGACCATTAGGATATACTGAACAAAGAGGTAGACTGCTTGTAGGAGAGGAGTCAGCCACACTCCCGCCGTACACAATGACTTTACTGCTACGTCACTGTTATTGGCACACACTGTGAAGAGGAGGAGTGTTTAAGGATGGGCACACTCCTGCAGGTATGCATGCACTGACAAATCCCCAAATATGCTAAAGATTAACTTTCGTCCACCAGGACTTTTTTATTTGCATTTACTATAATTAACTTTCTGTCTGGTGTCGGTCCAAATCTGACTTTACCACAAATGCATTCACACAGAGAGTAAAGGAGACTATAATATACCTCAATGAATTGTTTAATAATACATTCCTGACCACCTGCTCTCTAGATATCCATTGAAAAGCCCATATTGATCCTCAGCAAGTACATAGCTCTAACGATGTAAATCCACAAAAAAGATGCTGCACACACGTACAGTAAATTGTAAAGTACCCTTAACTTTAAGATAAGGAAATAGCCGACTACACTTGGTGTGACAAATAAGGGATATTTCCTTCAACTCTAGCCTTGAGCCTTCACTAGCTTTCTTTAAATAACAACTTTACAACAAACTTAAAACAGCATTAATTACATCTGACTTTGTACCACTCATAGTCGCTATAGTAACACTCATAAACCATGTGATAATTTTCAGCAGTGTGTGAAACCTTGGGATGCCAACTCAGGTAATGGAGCTCTGCCAGGTGTTTTGTTCCACTGAAGCATCCAACGCGCCCGACTGATGATCACTTAATCGTTCGCTGTTATCCAGAACACTTTAAGCGGAGTCAGGGGGATCGATGCTGTGGTGAAACAAAAAGCCCTGCCTTACCAAAGAGACCTGCGTTGGCTGCTTCGGTGTGTGTGAACCCATGTTGAGTGAAAGAGACTGTGAAGGAAGGCGATGATTATGCCATCGTGGGTTTGATTTCCAGTGCTCGTTTGGAGTGCCAATCAGCTCTCATGCTGTGGTGAAAAGCTTTGAATAAAACTATTCTTACCGGCGTAATCTCCTATACCTTCCTCATCGTCCTTACCGTCGATTTCATAGGCATACACTTCCCCGTACATCATCCAGTACGGCTGGAAGACCACGTCTTTGGCCAGCGACCAGCTGGGCTCCTCATGTGGATACAGAATGGCTTTCCGGGGAACGCCATAGCTCAGCAGGACTATAGCCATTATTACCACAATATAAAACATGTTGGCCACCTGCAACAGATCACACACAATTAATATGAAATATGAGAGATGGCATATCAATTGCATTTAAACATGTCTGCTTTCTTTACATCATGCAGTTCTGTGACTTCTCACGTTCTCACCATTTTAGCGATCATCATGACGTACGGTCCAGCCTGCTGGTTGACAGCCAGGATGTCCAGGAGTCGCACGTACCAGAAGATAATATTCAGACAATACACCGTCCTGCCGGGGACGAAGGCTTCACCTCCAGCCAATCTCAGGCCGAAGCCGATAAAAAAGGTCACAATGGCCAGAAAGTCGGACACATTAAAGTAGTCACTGAACCACACCTTTATCTTCTGGGATATTTTGCCCGCTTCAGACATAAACATCTGGAAAAAAGAGGAAGAAAATGGAAAAATAATGAAATAATGTTGAGGAGATGAGTTTATTTGAAGTATTGGCTTTACAGGGCTCGAGCAAAGAAATCTTCATTATCTTCTTTTGCACATACCTCTCGAATTTTCTCGATGGCAGAGGTGAATATGTAGAGGATGACGACCCACTCCTGAGGAGAAGGCCACTCGGGCATCTTCACCAACACCACGTACGAGTAGAACATCAGGAAGCCCAGATAGAAGAGCTGACAACGAGAGACACATTCATTAGACTCATTAACAACTCTTCAAATGAAGCTTTGAAAAGCTGTCATATTGTAGGATTCTATCACCCTGAAATAATTTAACATTTTAGACTTTTTGTTACTGTAATGATATAAATGGATTTTCTGGTGCCGATAAATTGCTCGTAGATCATCCAGCTGATACGTGTGTATGTCTTCCTTTATGTTTGACAAGTAGGAGATCAAACCGCTTTTTGACTGCATTACCCCCCATATTTTCTATTTTGTTTATTCTCTGTCAAAGCGTTTTTGAGTTCCTGATGTATTATTATTATTATTATTAATAAACACACTTTTTTAAAAAAAAAAAGGCCAAACACCAAAAAACATGTTTATATAACAAAATATTTTAATTGTAATCCATGTGGAATCTAGAAATGATGATATACATATTTTCAAGATTTTGAACTTCAAAATGCTCTTTGGCAGAAAGGAGTTATAAACAATCCTACACACAATGAATAATTATGGATAGATATACAATTATATTTCAATAAATATATGTTAGCCATTTTATCTGTAACTGTGCAGAAACACCAGGTTTTAACAGAATTATAGACATGCATACAAATAAAAAGGTGTGCAGCATTCAAATGTTGATTTTGAATTCGACATTTATTAAAAAAAAGTCAAGGGATTTTTCTTTCAAGAGTTGGAATAGTGTATTTTCTTTTTTACTTTGTACGTCACACATGTGAGAGATGTAGATATCCTAAGTATAAGAAAAGCTTGACGTAGATCCGGGCTATTCAGTTGGCGGCCCGCGGGGTGATATGTACTGGCCTTTTGAGTATAATGTTAAAAAGTAATCCACATTTTATTTTTGGGCCAGAGTGCCTTTATTCCAGAGAGGGTGTTACATTGAGAGATCCTCTATCTCTCAAGACATTGCCTGAAAACTTTGGCGGACTCAGGTTTCGAACCCACCTGCTAGCTGCTGTAGTGACAACTCCTGTCATGTATTGCATCTCTGCGTGAATGATTAGATAATTCCACCTAAATTAAATTCACATGTAGGCCTACTGAGTTCTGAGCCATTTAGATCTATAAAGGCCTTGGGGCTATGTTGTTTGATTTAATTAAACACGATATATGCACTCCACTATGCTGTTGTAGTATTTACTGTATTTGAAGCTCTTAATATGATTGCTCGTATTTCAAGCCATCTTTTTCCCGGCCCCTTGCTTTGGATCATTTTCATCAACCGGCCCCATTCCAAACTAATCGAATAGCCCTGACGTAGATTATAAGTGGCCGGTGTCGATCCCGAGAGGGGCTTCCTCTCTCTGAAATATTTTAAGAGGGGGTCAGCAGGGGCCTCTGAAGGGGCTGAACCTCATCATGGCACTTTGAGTCGGGAGCAAACAGTCGGCCATTTTGAGCCCTCAGAGCTCAGCTGGCGGTGAGCTGTGTGAGAGAAGAGAACATGATCTTCTCCGTCTCCAGTGAAAATCACAGTTCCCAACAAAGCCGGCTCTCAGAAGGGAGGGGCGAGCGGGGTGGAGATTATATAAAGAACAGAGGTGGGATATTTTATCCTACTGGTCATATAAAGCTGTAATAATCAGTCTTTTCATAATAAAGCTAATCTTTGTATCTGGATTGTTTACAGTTCTCATGATGAGATGATCAGTTCTGTCGAAGTTCTTCTGATAACCTTTTCTCTCCAGACAGCAGTTTGAGACAGTAATCCACGCCTTTGTCACCACTCGGCTGGATTACTGTAACTCTCTCTACATGGGGGTCAGTGGGTCCTCCCTCGCTCATCTGCAGCTGGTGCAAAATGCCGCAGCAAGGCTTTTAACTGGCACACGGAAATATGACCACATTTCCCCCATTTTGGCTTCGCTCCACTGGCTGCCAATACGTTTTAGGATTCATTTCAAAATCCTTTTATTTACTTTCAAATCCCTAAATGGCATGACCCCACCATATCTTTCTGAGCTGCTACACCCTTACACGCCCAACCGCCCTCTCAGGTCAGCGGATCAACTGCTCCCGAACGTGCCCAGAACCAGGTCAAAACTCAGAGGGGGCCGTTGCTTCTCTGTAGCGGCTCCCACGCTGTGGAACGATCTGCCCCCGCACATCAGACAGGCCGCCACACTGCCTGCTTTTAAATCGCTTCTTAACACCCACCTCTTCTCCTTAGCGTATTAACATATTTTAGAGCGTTGCTTTTAAATTGTCTATTGTTTTTACTTGTACTTGTTTTATGGTGTGTGAGCTGTGCTGTGTTTGTTGTTGTTCTGTTTTGTTTATATGACTGTACAGCACTTTGATCTGGAGGTTTAAAGTGCTCTATAAATAAAGCTGTATTGTATAAGTAAATCATATTGATAACTTTTGTATGGTAGTACTACATGCATTCAAACATGTGTCTGTACTAATTAGCACATGTTGACATCCTAAAGAGAGATAGGGAAGATGGTAAACATTCTTTATCATCATCAGCACGTTAGCATTTAGCTAAAAGCACTGCTAAGGGCAGCCTTACAAAGCGTTGCTGTAGTCTCTTAGTCCTGTTTCTTAAGTAACTCATTGATTTGCTACCTGTATTAACATGAAGTACTTTTTTTTTAATAGATTGCTATTTGCATCACAAATACATTAAGTGGGTACTTTAGGAAATAAAGTAATAGCTCTTTAGAGCAGCTTAGTTCAACCCTTGTGCTTTCATCTTTTTCAGTAGCGAAACAAACCATGATTGGTTTTCAATGACCCATGAAAACCAATCATTTGACCTGTGCTTGGAACAGAAAGGAGCTCTTTTGTAGCACCATACTGCAGACTGTGGGAAAGTTTGTCCACATAGGCAGGTCAAGTTACACGTGCACACTCAAACACACGTCCAGTTTACACACTACATTAGAACAATTGCTGAGCCTTGACATGAGGTGTGAACTGTTGGAAAACCAGCCATTAACACTCGCATCTGATGTGCAACCTGGTGTTATGTGCAGCATTGATGTGTTAAAGTGGATGTAGATAAGCCTGGGTACAGGCTATATTACGGAGACTAGCAGTTTCAGTGATGCTATCAGCACCTCTCATTCTTGAACCGCCTGAAAAACAACCCTGTCCCTGCTGATTAAACCCTCAGTGACGACTCCCAGGCTCCTGAGAACCAGCCTCAGGCTTGTGTCCATAAATAAACACAAGAACAGGTGCGAAAAGGTGAGTGATAGTCCCTATATGGTTGTGAAAAGTGTGTGTTCAAGAAGGTCTCTCCTTAGTCTCTCCTAAAAAGTATGGTAGCCATATAGGAGTGTTTAAAATAGAATGCAAGGGCACAATGCAAGGAGAGGCTGATGTGTCTCCAACTAGAACACTTCCAATAGGGTTTAATGAAGCGCAAAAAGAAGGGGGTTGCAGTCCAGAAAAAAAAGACTTCTCACACTGAATCGAGGAGTCCTAACTATCTGCATGTTACAGATTCTTTAATTGTATGATCACATTCCCTGAGATTTCCTGCTGGTGGTGCTGTTTGAATATGTGTCTCTCCATTCAATGCTAAAACAACCAGATGTTCCATTTATAAATTGCAGTCTAAGAGTTGAATTACATCCTAGGTCTTTTCTAACCACATTAGAATACCTGAATGGTCAAAGAGAAAAGAAAATGCACCTTCCGGGCCAGAAAATACTCTTTGACTGCAGTGTTAGTGTTTCGCCGCTGTTTTGGTGGGTGTCTCATAAGACGAGGTTGCACCTTGTTCCCCCAGTGTTTAGCACCGCTGCTATGACTCCATCCTAGGAGAAACACTGTCCCCTCTCCTATTTGTAGTTTTTATCAATCACAGAGTCTGCAGGGTTTTGTGTCAGACCAAAATGGGGAGAGAATCTTTAACATTAGCTAAATTCTCAGGTACTTGTTGATCTTTATCTGAACATTACTAACGACCACATCTGACAGCCCCTTTTGGTACTAATGAATAAAAGGAACAAAGAAACTAGGCTGGCTAACCATTAGCACATTCCTGTTTGCATTTCTGCTGCATCTCAACTGTGTAGATCACGCATATTCTTTTTATTCAGGACATTTAAATAATCTGTGTTAAAGGTCACCTATTATGCAAAATCCACTTTTTCATGTCTTTCATACATTAACATGTGTCCCCCAGAGTTTCCGTTCGAATTTTGTTTTGCCGGTCAACATGTCCGTTAAAGTTGAAATCTTCCGGACAAAATGTGAAAAGTGCCGGTCAAAGGTCTTCTTTGTTATTTATTGAGCTTTAAAACAAATTGATATGATTCGATATTAAACAAACTAATTATAGTAGATTAACTACATTATTCAAAAGTGTACAGTATTTGTAACTTATAATAATAAACGGAGCGCTCTCTCCCTCTCCTGACAGCCCGCTAGTATCATGCAGCTCGCGGATCCAGTAATGACATATCTATAACTAGTTTAGATAGTTTGAGAGGTCATTAAAATAGCTACGTGTGATATTCTAACCTGAAGTGTGTGTTTTGCTCCGCTCACCGCTGCATGTGCTCATGCAGAACTGCGTGTCGACTCGTCAGCAGCAGCTGATGTCTCTCTCCCGCCAGATTAGACTTCACTCGCGTTTATGTCCATATCGATCAGATCCAGCTAGTTCTAGCTAATGATATGACTACCTGCTTATCAAGACACCTAAACAATAAGCGTCGCTATGCAACCGGGTGAGGCCGCAAAGTATAGCGCAGCATTATGCATTTGTTTACATGCCCACCGGAACCCCGAGGCATTACCAACAGATCAACCCATACAGGACATCTCTTTCTCCACATTAAGTGTTAGACATTAGAATGGACTCTTTTGTCTGTCACATAAGTGGCGCAACTGATGCGGATCCTTATTTTCATCTAAAGTAACAGACAGAGAATCAGCACTTTTGAAACAGGGCTGAAACAGAGGGGATTATGGGATGCTGCAATGATCTGTTTGCAGAGACACGTTTTGTTTATATCTGAGACCTATAATAAAGTAATGAAAAACAGCATAATGGGGACCTTTAAGTTACTGCTCCTAGTAGGTAACTAGCAACATCCTCTCCTGTTCTCCAGATAAACAACCATAAAACAGACGGTTGGATGATGTGTAGATGTGGATGTGTAGATGTGTAGATGTGTGGATGTGTGGATGTGTGGATGTGTGGATGTGTGGATGTGTGGATGTGTGGATGTGTGGATGTGTAGATGTGTGGATGTGTGGATGTGTGGATGTGTGGATGTGTGGATGTGTGGATGTGTAGATGTGTGGATGTGTGGATGTGTGGATGTGTGGATGTGTGGATGTGTGGATGTGTGGATGTGTGGATGTGTGGATGTGTGGATGTGTGGAGGTGTGGAGGTGTGGATGTGTGGATGTGTGGATGTGTGGATGTGTGGATGTGTGGATGTGTGGATGTGTGGATGTGTGGATGTGTGGATGTGTGGATGTGTGGATGTGTGGATGTGTGGATGTGTGGATATTTATCTCCATACCGTGTTGGACCAGAACTTGACGATTGGAGCGTGGTAGAAGGCATATATTTTCCTGGTTAGGGGCAGCTTCCTGGAGCGAATCTGTGTGTCTATGTCGCTCTTTGTCTCCACGTTGTCGTTGGATCTGGCCTCCTTGAAGACATCCTGCAGAGGTTGAAGTGGCCCGAATGAGACAGCAGTGGAGATAAAAAGAGTGGAAGAGAAGGAAAGCAGAGTGAAGAGGAGAATGTGAGGGGAACACACAAAGGAATTCAATTCAATTCAAAACCTTTATTTATCCAGGTAAAATCCCATTGAGATCAATGATCTCTTTTTCAAGGGAGACCTGCAGCAGTAGGTTCTACAAGAAGACATAAAAACATAAACAACAGAACAACAAAAGGACATCATACAGCAAAATGTACAGGGATTACAATTTACATATTTAACCACAAGTACAGGTACCAACAGCATCTGATTTTGTAGCATCCAACCGAGCTTTAAAAACATGTAGTGGTACTAGCTTGGTAATTTTCCATTCTTTTTGCAGACTGTTCCATGTTAGTGGAGCTGCACATCTAAAAGCTTTCTTCCCTAAGACAGTCCTAGCACTTGGCACATTTGAATGAAGAAAAACATTTAATTTTAAGTCCAAGAAAAGTGTTTTTCAATCTAATTATCTTAATATGTCTCCTACTCTTATTTTAAGACAACAAACTGTTCACAGCTCTGTTTAACAAAGAAAGAAATGTAACTCAAAAATTATGTTTTTATTTCCTTTTAAAGTTTACTTTCAGCTCCTATAATACGTCTGTAATACTGTGTGTCACGTTTGCCATATGCTGTGAACACATGTTATTTTACCGGTTGTCCCAAAGACAGTGCTGCTGTATTATGCATTGCACAATAATGAATATAGCCGATAGTTATATACTGACACACCGCCATAAAAAAAGCATTTTTGAGCATGTGTGTATCTGTACTGCGTTTCTATACAACAGATTGAAAACCTACATTTCCCCTTGTGGGATTAATAAAGTGGCTTTTCATTCTTCTATTTCTAGATCTCACCATCTGGATGTCATCAACGATGTTCTGGAAGTTGTGCTCGCTGTCCTCCATGGTGATCTGGTGGTCGTCCTGACTCTGAGGGATGTGAGCCATCTCGGCCTTGGACTTGTACTCCAGCAGGAGGATGGCCGGAGGCACCAGGATGCTCAGAATCACCTGGAGACACAAACGCACTAATGTGGGTGTGGGACCTTTTATTTGTCAAGAAAGTACTTTGAATGACACATAAATGCTTATTTTTTTACTTTTTAATGCCATTTTATTTCTATTTCTGAAATATATTGGACAGTTTATTTCTGTGTCTTAGTTTCTCTTATGTACATGTATATTATGCTGCTGCAACGCAAACATTTCTCAAATTGGGATCAATAAAGTACCTCTCTATCTATCTATCTATCCATAGTGTTTTATTGCGCAAGTAGACATCAAACTAGTCTTTGGCTTTTCTCTAATTATAATATATTCTGTCTTGATTTTGCCTGTGTCATAGAAGAACAGAATAACACAGCCAAAGCCCTGCTGGAATTATCCCGAGCCTGATTAAAATACTTGAAATTGTTTGATATTATTGCTCACCCAAAACAAAGAAATGAGAAAGAAAATTCGTTGCATGCTAGACTAGTGTCCAATTTCAATTTGAACAAAAACAACATTTAGGACATCAGAAAAGTCATTGTTAATAATAATAATAATAATTCCTTACATTTATTATAGCGCTTTTCCAGATGCTCAAAGTGCTTTACAAATACACATTACACATATTTTTTTTTATACATGCAATGGTCACTGTGGACAATACCCACAGGAGCAAGTTCAGGTGAAGTGTCTTGCCCAAGGACACACATTGTTATTAGTATCTTAACAACTATTTGTTAAGGCTGCTGACAATGAACCCCACGCTGTCCCAGACTGCCTAGCGTTGTCGTGTGCTGAAGCGCAATTATCCTTGCACATTACTGCTGTATATACAGTACTGTATTCACTGTATTTATTATTATCCGTGTATTTATTCTTATTTATACATTTCCCATCTGTACCTTTATTTTGTATCATTTATTTTGTACATACTTCTGATAATTGTGTATATAACTGACTGTTTTGCACTCTGGTTAGACCCTCCTTAATTTCGTTACACTGTGCTTGCATTTTGTAATGACAATAAAGTAATCTAATCTAAATGTGTTATGATATTGTGATACCCATGTGGGGTCATCTGGAGAGGGTGTGGCTGTGCTGCATCCAGCCGCCTTATTGCAGTAACTCAGGGTTACTTTACTTGCTTTGCACTTGATTCATTTTGCTAATTTGAACCACTTGCTTTAATAAACATATTTTGCTAACCGTTGATATGGTGTGTCTCCTCTTTGTTGTGGCCCTTTGAGCCAGGTCATAACCAAAATGTTATGATAAAAGCAATTACATTTGAATTTAGTTGCTCAGGTTTTGACCTACACTTCAGAAAATGCTTGCACCGGGAAGTCCCTTGAGATAAGAGTATTAATGAACTGTTTATTGCTCATATCATCATTAATAATCATTGTGGCATTTTAACACAGAACTCCGACTGAAATTGTGATTAGATATGAAAGCAGACCTTTGTTCAAACCGCAGAACACAACATCTGATAAACATGGGAAAAACACTGAATTAATCACATCCTGCCTCTCAATACTATGGACAAAGTTCAACACTGGCTGAACAACATTTGCTTACAGTTAAATGCAAAAAAAAACAGTATGCATGATGTTCAGTAAACGACCAGTCAAAATCGAAGGATCCAATGTGTTTTGAAACGGAGCAGAAATAGAACTAGTCTCCCACTTCAAGTATCTTGGAGTCATACTGGACTCAAACTTGACTTTTAAGAAACATATTAAGAAAGTATCCAATACCATTAAATTCAACTTGCAACATTTTAAACAAATTAGACCTTTCTTAACTGTCAATGCTGCAAAGTCATACCTCCACTGTATGATTCTATCCCCCATTGAATACTGTTTGACAAACTGGTCGTTTGCTTGTGCCACAAACCTGAAACCTATAGAACAGCTGTACAAGAGAGCTATCAAGGTGTTTGACAGAAAGCCTTATTCATACCACCACTGTACCATCCTTGAAAAACACAATTATCTTGAGTTTTGACCATTTTAAGTCTTTTAAAAGTATGTACTTTTTTTATAAATGTTTACATGGACTGCCTGACTGCCTGACTGCCTGCCTGCCCCCCCCCCCCCCTTAGGGGTATTCATCCACAGAAAACACTGGTCGCTGCACTACATTGTACTGCCATGTGGTTAATGCTTGTATGCTGCTCTTGTTCTATATAATGTATTTATTTTTGCTATGTATACAAATGTCATGTTCTTAAATGTCATATGTGAGGGACTACGGATGGAAATGAGCTCAAAGCTAAAATCCGGTATGTTTACGTTTTAAAGCATTATTTGTTTTAAATGTTCATCAATATGCATTGTCCCTCTTCAAATAAACGATTAAACATGCATTCATGTAACAACTATTAAACCACTGCAGCACGGTTTAACATTTGTATTAAGCTTTTCATAGACTGTTGACTCGCACCATCAAACCTCAGCAGCCTCTGTAAAGCAAGCATTCAACACGTATACTTTCATTTGTTGCCAAAAATAAAAATCTAGATGGATCATGAACCTTGTACCAGGAGTTCTTTCGCATGTTCAGCCGTCCCATCCACATGTCGGACAACAGGAACTGGGTGCAGGTGTGAGCCACGAAGGGCCGCAGGTGGGAGGAGACGGCCAGCTTCAGACAGGTGGAGTTGCTCCAGTTCTTCAGCTCGTAGGTGAGCAGCTTCATGGCCATGGTCTCATCCTGCCTGAACGACTCCTCCAGCAGGTCCACTGCCAACGTCCCAAACTCACTGAAAAGGCAGGGCAAGATTATTTATATAGCACCTTTCAACACAAACATGGAAGACATTAAGAAAATGACATTTAAAAACAGTCATTAAAAAGCAATAATAAACATAAAAAGACAAAATACATGAATACAAGTTAAGGTGCAGTGTAAGATATGAATACTTCAATTAGAAGCAGCGGCAGAAATGAAAGTCTTCAGCATCAATAAACAGTTTGTTTAGCACACCTTCACTTTTATAGAGAGATGTGAGCACTTTATAGCTACCTGTCATTTTTAGATTTGATTAGATTTATTTCGAATGTGTAAAACAATAATACAAAAATTAACATGAGAATTATTATACAATACAAAATGAAGCAGTGTCAAATAATAAAAAATAGGTACCACTTTACAATAAGACTACCCTCTTATTTATAATTAGGTTATGAATTAGGTTGTAAACACTAGTAATGTGACAGAGCCCACGCACAATAAGGGGCACACTCTGGACTTAATTATATCAAAGGGTCTGAATATCTCTAAGGTTGTGGTGACTGATGTTGCACTCTCTGATCATTCCTGTGTGTTCTTTGAGAACTTACTTTTCTGTTCACAAAAATGTCCAAAAAGAGGTAACCACAAAGCGATATTTAACTGAAAACACTAGGGAAATGTTTACTCAGAATTTTTCTTCCACACTTGCCCCTGCTAACATCTCAGTAAATTAGCTAGTAGATCATTTTAATAAAAAAATTAAAAATGTTATAGATGCCATTGCTCCAACTAAGGTAAAGGAAGTGTCTGGCAAGAAAATATCTCCATGGAGAAAGGCCATGACCGTGAGAGCAGAAAAAAGAGAGTGTCGAAAAGCTGAACGTAGGTGGCGAAAAACAAATCTCCAGGTTCACTTTGAATTCTATAAAGAGAGACTTGGCCTTTATAATTTGGAATTGAAAAACGCACGACAGTCTTTCTTCTCCGACATCATTACCAAAAACAAAAACAATGCACGTGCCTTGTTTGCTCCCGTCGACAGACTAACTAGTAGCCTCTGAATTTCTATCCACCAGGGCATGCAATGATTTTGCCTCCTTCTTCACTGACAAAATTCAGAAAATCAGACAAGCAGTCAGTGCCTCTGCATCAGGTACAGCAAATGTGTTGTCCCTATGTCCACCTAATATCAATTCAAACACCATGACACAATTCCATCAGATTAATGATAAAAACCTAGAGGACATTATTCAACTTCTGAAATCCTCCTCCTGCTGCCTTGATATTATTCCAACAGGATTTTTCAAAGATGTTTTGCCTTGCATGGCCTCAGATCTACTTCATATAGTAAACAAATCTCTTCACTCAGGTATTTTTCCACAGGCCCTGAAAACTGCAGTCATTAAACCGCTCTTAAAAAAGAATAATCTAGATGCTTCAGTAATGAACAATTACAGGCCCATATCAAACCTGCCATTTCTAGGTAAAATCATTGAAAAGGTTGTTTTTCAACAGTTGAGTAATTTCTTGCATTTAAATAGTTGTTTCGATGTGTTCCAGTCAGGCTTTCGTCCAAACCACAGCACTGAGACTGCTCTTGTAAAGGTCTTCAATGACATCCATGCCACAGACAGTGGCAGAACTTCAGTGTTACGGTAAGTCCACACAGCAGCTTTTCAAAAATCTTGAAAATCTTGGAGCTGGGCGTGTCTGAAAGCTTGGGGATTTTTTGCGAGCAACGCGACCAACAACCAATCACAGGAATCTCCCGCCCCCGACATACAAAGCAAAAAACCCCGGGGATTTTATGCGAGCAATATATATATATATATATATATATATATATATATATATATATATATATAAACTCCCCAAACAGGCGAAAACCTACCAGTTTCACCCACTGTCTCTGCCACCTCCCTCCATGCCTGGTTCCTCCGGTTTGTATCCTGTTAATAGTTCAGGTCGTAAAGAACCGGGTGATTTGCTACCGTAATTTCTCGTTTGGAATATGAGGAAATGAACTGCGGTCTGGTTCTCCCTGCTTACACGCGGTTTGATTGGCTAGCGCTTCTACTGTCAGATTTGCATAAACGGGATTTGATTGGCTGACGCTTCCAGCTCCGCTTCAAAAGTTGAACATTGCTCAACTTTTGAATCCTGAAAATCCTGGAAATCTTCGCTTCGCTCCCCCACAATGCAGTTCGGCGAAAAGCGAGGCAAAGTGACATCATCCCCATTCAAAGTCAATGGGCAGAGAAGCGTTGGAAGCGGTGGAAGATTCGTCTAAAGCTGCTGTGTGGACGTACCGTTAGTATTATTAGATCTCAGTGCTGCGTTTGACACTGTTGACCACAACATATTACTCGACCCACTAGAAAACTGGGTGGGACTTTCGAAAACAGTTCTAAATTGGTTTGAATCCTACTTAAAGGACAGAAACAACTTTGTTTCTATAGGTAAATACACATCTGAGTTGACAAATATGACATGTGGGGTTCCTCAAGGCTCCATCTTGGGGCCTCTTCTCTTTAACGTCTACATGCTACCACTGGCTCAGATAATGAAAAACAACAAAATAAGTTACCATAGCTATGCAGATGACACACAAATTTACATAACAATTTCACCAGGAGACTATGCTCCAATTCAAACACTGAGTAAGTGCATTGAACAAATCAATGACTGGATGTGTCAGAACTTTCTCCAATTAAACAAAGATAAAACTGAGGTAATGATTGTTGGAGCCAAGGCAGAACGTGTAAAAGTTAGCGCTAAGCTTCAGTCTGCAATGTTCAAAACAACAGATAAAGCCAGAAATCTAGGTGTAGTCATGGACTCTGACCTGAGTTTCAACAATCACATTAAAACAGTTACTAAATCAGCCTACTATCACCTACAGAACATATCTAGGATTAAAAGACTAATGTCACAGCAGGATTTGGAAAAACGTGTCCATGCTTTTATCTTCAGTAGACTCGACTACTGCAATGGTGTCTTCACAGGTCTCACTAAAAAATCTATTAGAAATCTGCAGCTAATTCAGAACGCTGCTGCTCGAGTCCTCACTAACACTAAGAAAGTGGATCACATCACTCCTGTTCTGAAGTCTTTACTCTGGCTTCCTGTGTGTCAAAGAATAGATTTCAAAATACTGCTGCTGGTTTATAAAGCACTGAATGGTTTAGGCCCAAAATACATTTCTGACCTCCTGCTAAATTATGAACCATCCAGATCTCTCAGGTCTTCAGGGACTGGTCAGCTTTCTGTCCCCAGAGTCAGAACTAAACATGGTAAAGCAACGTTCAGTTATTATGCTCCAAATATCTGGAACAAACTCCCTGAAAACTGCAGGTCCACTGCAACTCTGACTACTTTTAAATCCAGACTAAAGACTTTTCTTTTTGCCGCTGCTTTTAATTGAACTATTCACATCTTAAACTGCACTGTAACTTTTATCCATGTACTTTTTCTTTTAATGTTTATTTTATTATCTTTTCTTTTTAATGACTGATTTTAAATGCCATTTTCTTAATGTCTTTCGTTTTTGTAAAGCACTTTGAATTGCCTTGTGTTGAAAGGTGCTATATAAATAAACTTGCCTTGCCTTGCCTAATCATTAAGAACCATCTATAAACCAGTACAATCATAATTTTCATACATCAACACAGGCTCACTATTTTGGCAAGATGACTAAGCCAAGTAAGCTAAGTAGCCAATACTGAGTTGATTCTCGCTAATTAGCCAATATAAGGCTTAGTCATCTGTGGAGTGGATTCCCCCCCCATCCACCTTGATGTTTCTTGGCATCTCTTATGACCATTTATTTACGAGTTACTAACATTTATAGTTGCCAAAAGGGAGCCTTGTTGTAAAGTGTAAAACAAATCACCATGTATTAATGAGTTACTACCATTTATAATAAGGCTTAGCAGTACAGATACATGTGGGCTCACTATTTGGCAAGATGACTAAGCCGTATATTGGCTACTTAGCGAGAATCAACTCAGTCAGCAACAGATACCAAGGATGCTGGCTGATGAAGGAGACGAAGTAAGCTCGGTAGCCAAAATAAGGCTTAGCAGTACAGATAAATGTGGGCTCACTATTTGGCAAGATGACTAAGCCGTATATTGGCTACTGAGCGAGAATCAACTCAGTGAGCAACAGATACCAAGGATGCTGGCTGATGAAGGAGACGAAGTAAGCTAGGTAGCCAATATAAGGCTTAGCAGTACAGATAAATGTGGGCTCACTATTTGGCAAGATGACTAAGCCGTATATTGGCTACTTAGCGAGAATCAACTCAGTCAGCAACAGATACCAAGGATGCTGGCTGATGAAGGAGACGAAGTAAGCTAGGTAGCCAAAATAAGGCTTAGCAGTATAGATAAATGTGGGCTCACTATTTGGCAAGATGACTAAGCCCTATATTGGCTACTTAGCGAGAATCAACTCAGTCAGCAACAGATACCAAGGATGCTGGCTGATGAAGGAGACGAAGTAAGCTAAGTAGCCAATATAAGGCTTAGCAACCGGTCACAGTTGCCCTGTTTATCTCATGTCTTATAAAAGCTTATTAATGATTTATAAAGTGCTCACAACCTAATTAATAAATTAATTACAAACTATTCCCTTTATAAGTCTTATTGTAAAGTTGTACCCAAAAATATTACTGATTCTAAACGATGTATAAACAAATAATCTACTTAATTACAAGGGGAAAAGGGGTGGGAAGAAGTTTACGCAAGGGATAATGTGCAGCGAGGCGGTCATTATGGGTAAAAGAACACCCGACAGGCAGGTCAGGATCCCGACGCGAAGCTATGCAGTTTGCCGTTTGCTTTTAAGCCAAACTGTATACTAGGGCTGAACGATATACCGTGTCATGGCGATAACCACGGTATGCGCATGCGCGGTATTCACACCGCAGGGACGTGCGGTTGTATTCATTTAAAAAAAAAAATGCTAACGCACTTTAGCACAGAATTCAAAATAAAGATACCCTTATTACTTATCGAAACTGCACATACAATATATCCGATTAAAGCTGAGACTCCACAGATTATTTAAGTATAGTATCTAAGCGATCCGATCTCGCAACAGGGGAAGCAAACACAGACATCACAACACGTACCTTTTACGGAGCTTTTACGGGAGATCGTCTCACCGTAGCTGTCAATCTGATCAAAAGACGTGTTCAATGGCATTAAAACGAGAAAGAAAAAACGCGGCTGAATCGGTTGATCCATAGGTCTGTGGCTTTGAAGCAATTGTTTATAATCCATAATTCCATTTTTATGTAAAAATCGGAGCACAAAGGTTAGCTGCTAATGGTAGCTACCAGAGTGTATGCAGCTTCCGGTTTTGGCTACGCGTCACTCTCACTCCTTATTTGTTCATGTGTTGGTGTGTGTAGAACTTCCCCTGCATTCACAGCAAACCATCAATCACAATCATTCTTGATCAGATAACAGCAGGCCCCGCCCCTCTAGTTTGCAGACCATCAAAACACTGGTAAAAAAATGAGCGAGGCACAGGAGGACAATACCGGAGAGAATGAAGATTTACTTCCAAGAAGAAAAGCAACATCTGCCATCTGGAACTATTTTGGCCTATGGAAAAAAACCTATGGATTAACCGATTCAGCCGCGTTTTTTCTTTCTCGTTTTAATGCCAGACGTGTTGTCTTTTGATCAGATTGACAGCTACGGTGAGACATCTACCCTAGAAGCTACGTAAAGGTACGTGTTGTGATGTCTGTGTTTGCTTCCCCTGTCCGAGTTCAGATCACTCAGTGATGATACTATATACCTAAATAATCTGTGGAACCTCAGCTTTAATCGGATATCTTGTAAATGCAGCTACGATAAGTAATAATAAGGGTACTTTTATCTTGAGTTCTGTGCCAAAGTGCGTTAGCATTTTTCGCTCAGGGGTCATTTAGATGCTTCTTATGAGACTTGTGTTTCATAAAGTACCCGCCGGGACTTTGGGGTTTAACAGGTTAAAAAAAACGCAATATATACCGCAGGGGGGGGGGGGGGGAAATCGCGATGTCAGTTTTTTTCAATACCGTGCAGCCTTACTGTATACAGTTAAATCGAACGGACTTCTTTGTGCAGATGTGAGCGTCCTTAACAACGGTCAATAAGTGCTTGACAACGGTCTGTCTGTTCTGGATTAACAAAGTGTCACGTGTTCTGAATTGACCAATCAGAATAGAGTATTCAACTAAACCATGTAATACATTTATTTAATCCCACCCCTTCTCCCAAAAACAAAATTATTAACATATATATATTATACCTAAAGAAATACATTTGTTATTAAAAAACAAACAAAAACATTAAACAAATAAATAAATAAATAAACAAATATAAATACATAACAGTGGTAAATGATATTCAAGAAAAGATAAAATAACAAACCAAATAAATAATGAATTAATACCACAGAAAGACTTTACTTTGAGTGCTCCTTGAGCTCCTCGGAGGTGTCGTCTACCACGTCGCTCTTCTTGGCCTCGTAGCCCATAGATCGAGAGAGCTTGCAGGCCACCAGCGCCTTCGCCATGTTCTCCTCGCCGTGCTGCCAGAAGAACAGCGACATTTTCTGCCTCTTCATCAGCACGGCCCACACCAGCAGCTCATTGAAAGGGTAGGGGAACCGCCGCGTCTCCGGGTCGTCTATGTCCACGATCTCTTCTTTGCTTCTCTTTTTGTTCTGCTCGATGGAAGACTCAAGCTAGGAGGAGAGGGAGGGGAGGCAGACGTTATTTTAATCCTTAGATACAGAGATAGGTTATACACTTTCACTTTGAGGAAAGCCTTGTTTCCTATTTCCAATGTTTACCTTAGGTTTGTATGGCTGTGCAGTTTTGATGAAGTGGTTGTGCCTCGTCTTCTCCTTCTTGTCAGCCTGCATGCTGAAGGACTCGTTATTTTTTCTCAAATGAGAACCAGGACCTGCAGGGTGGCGCCCCGACCTCTGCGCAGAAGAAGAAAGATACACGATTCTCAGTCAACAATACTTTCAGGCCTAACATCAATCCTATAGCTTTTTTTTTTTTTTTTACGACATCCACGTGCCAAGAACCACTTAAAGGTCACCTATCATGACCTATCATGCTATTTTTAGGCAACAGCATAGGTCTCAGATATATACAAATATATAAGAAACATGTCTATGAAGTGTTTTGTGCAAAATACCAAACAGATCACCCAGTCTAGCCATGCCTCATATCCCTCTATTTCACTTCCTGTTTCAAAAGTGCTGATTTGGGGTATAAAGCTTTAAAAAAGAGGGGTGGAGCTTATGCCTGCTCATGCGGGAGATGCTACCAGCAGATACTGCCATGATAAAACACCATATCATGGATTATGTCTGAAACAGTATGGAGCTCAAAGGCTTTCTCTCTTGCCGGTTATACCACAAGGTGAGTTCCTTTTTATTTCCTGCTTCTTCACACACATGCTCTCCAGTACAGGTTAGCTCTGAGTGTTATCGATGCTAATGTAAACACCGACCATATTACGTCCAAAACAGTCGGGCATTGTTTCTGATAGCAACGTTTCTGATAGTGCTGTGGGTCCGCCGGCAATTTGACGTCATATTGGCGGCAAATCTGGATCAGCTCCGTTGTACCCCCGTTTTTAGAGATTTGGGTACGGAGGAAAAGAGAGAGGGTTTTATTTTCTGACGCTGCGTGAGTTCCCTGACACACCGGGGACACATGTTTATGTATAAAATACATCAAAAACTGCATTTTGCATGATAGGTCCCCTTTAAAACAATACATAAAACAAAGACATAAGTTTCAGATAACACCAAGAAAAATACATTTTAGATACAGAGAGAGTTATACCACACCCACGAGAGGAAAACAGTTGGCACGACAATAACAACTACCTCCATAAATTACATTTCAGCATGTCAAGGGGTTATTTGAGCACTTTATGTCTACCAGGGGTACGGTAAATACAATTATGAAAAGACAAGTTAGCTGTTAGCAAGCTAATGTCAGAACAGCATAGATATTTTGATTTATCCGGATTCCTTCACGATGACACAAGTTGCAAACTGTAAAAATGCTTAAGCACATGTGGGCAGACATGTTGATGCCTCACTTTTGTCTTTTTATAGAAACTTGGTTCTGTGTTTTTGAGTCTGTTGGAAATGCATCCTACACCAAAGCAGCTTTCAGGCATCTTCTGTTAATTGCTACCAGATGAAAGTGACAAGAAGGCACGTTCACACAACACAAAGTTAATGGAGAGCTATGAACTGTTTCCCCTCTGGTGTTGCAACAGTTCAAACTCACCCTATTGCTGCCATGTAGATTATTGTAAATGATTCTGAAGCGCTTCCTGGTGTAGTTGCACCTGTAAGTCCCGCCCATCAGGTACTCAATAACCAGGCCCACATCAATCAATGTGATCTTATAGTTTGGAGGTAGATGACTCTGCAAGAAGACACAGAAACAAACCATTATGATCATTTTGATTAGTTAAATATACAATTATCATAGAGTATTATGGAAAGCACCCGTTAAATCAAATGCATGCCGTTATTAGTATTAAAAACTGGACTGGCTGTACCTGTTTAATATCTCTAACCAGGTGGAGGAGAGTGGGGTTGTTGGGTTGCTGTTTCTACAAAATAAAAAAAGACACAAAAGCATTTCAACACACAAAAACTTTTGTATTTTTTCTGTTCACAAATTCCATCTCTGTAATTCCGTCGCTGGTGTGTGTTTTATTATTTTACCGTGTTGTAGAGCTCCTCTAGCCGACTGATAGTCAGGAAACGATGCATGCTCACGCCATTTTCTATGAGCAACTTAACAAAGTCCACCCTGTCCATCACGAGGGCATCCAGCATGGCCTGCTCCAGAGAGCTCACCTATAAACAAGCAAACAAAAACATGCTGTTATAAATTTAAATAGCTAATGATTATTTATAAAAACAAACACGATGAGGAGAGAAGCCCAAAAATAGGTCCACATTACAGCAAAAACACACAAGAAACTTAAATAAATATACTCTATCCTCTCATTCGCGGCACAAGCTAGGATTCCCCGCTAGTTTCAAAACAAACAAAAGCACAAAGGGCAGCTTATGAAGACAACTGTAAGAGGGTTCATGTTTCAGTCAGAACAAGCAGAGCATGGCAACGCGCCGAGGTCCGCCCCCCTGGGTCCTCCGCTGCAGATTGTGGTTCAGCTGAGACTCTGGGCTCGTTTTCGGGCGAGTCCGAATGTTTATAGCTAACGCTGAGCTAAGCAAACATTCATGAAAGTTGTGGCCCACTCAGATAAACAGAACGTACCATGAGCTGCTGTCCGTACACAAACACATGATTCTTGGCAATGTCCACCCGGTCCCAGGCCAGAGTCAGGACCAGCTGATCGAAGGCAGACGAGTTTGTGCCTGAAATACAAAAAAATATTATTTTCACAGGTGGATGAAGCTTTATTATTAGCTATGTAATTTCTGTTAGCTAGCTAGCAGGATTAGAGGAGTTAGGAGAGCAGGGGCAGGGCAGTAATAGTCAATTACACACTAATACAGCAACGCAGCTGAATAGACTACATAGTAAATCCCTGTTCAGTCTCTCTCACACACCGATCTGCTCTATTGTCCTCTAGGAGCCGTCTTAATTATACGAGCATATTCACTGTACAAATAATTGATTTTGTGGGTTTGATATAAAAATATCAACAGGGAGTAATTGTGCTACTTAAAGGTAGGGTAGGTAAGAATGGAGAAACCAGCTCGAGTGCGCTAGAATTTGAAACTACGCAACCGAAAAAAATCTGGGGGGTTAGAGAGGACCTGGTCCTGCAGAGGATCAGTTCTCCTGCTGACCCCCCAGCTGCTGAGTGGTCTGTCTGTCTGTCTGACTGTCTCTCTGTGTGTCTGTCTGTCTGTCTCTGTGTGTGTCTCTCTCTCTCTCTCTCTGTGTCTGTCTGTCTGTCTGTCTGTCTGTGTGTCTCTCTCTCTGTCTCTCTCTCTCTGTCTCTGACTGTCTCTCTGTGTGTCTCTCTCTGACTAAAATGACTTAATTGTATTTAAAACAACCTGAGATAAAAAGGTAGTTTGTCTACCTGTGCAACAATACAACGTATGCAGTTTTTAACAACAGCAATGACTTGTGTTTTCCAGTGACTTCTCCAAACTTCCTGTTTAACACGCAGCCCGCTAAATGAATTGAAATGAAATCCACCAAGGGCCTGATTTGGCCCCCGGGCCTTGAGTTTGACACATGTGCTATAGAGCAGGGGTTCCCAACCCCAGGTGTTACTGCCAGGCTGCGAAATAGCTGTGAGTTTATCGTAATATTTGCAGAATTATAAATATATACAAATATTTTATCATAATATTTTTTTCAAAAAGTGTTTAATGTTCGCACCTATACCAGTCATATTATTTAATCCAGTAGCCTAGTTAATCTTTCACTAGATAACCGTTGAAAATTGCTTTTATGATGTTCCAAGGGATTCGGCAGCTCAGCCTGGTCTCAGCCTCTTGTGCGCACGAGAAAGTTACCGGTGCGCCAAGTAGGAAGAGGAGCGCACAGGAGACAACCGTTTAATTGCAGACTGTTATGTTTATGTGGGGAAATGGCAGTGCATACATTATTTGAGATATATTTCAAACTCAGACTTCATTTTAAGGACATGTCAGCCAGGGGTGTAGACCTATTTGTTTAAGCACCGGATTGGCAAAACAGGAGAGTATGTAAACCAGTCTGCCTTGATCTATGAATTTGTGTCTGGGACTCTCACGGTATCTGCTGCCCGCAGCTGTTTATAGAAGGAAAACCTCCTTCACTTCATGAAAATGGCTGCAGCATCAGGAGGCAGTGGGACGTATACTCCGCCTCTGAGAAGTGCAGCACCAGCGTGCCGAGAGCGGTGCCTTTTTACGCACCGCCTTCGCTGTGTTTACCTTCATCAGAACAGTGAGTGACTGCAGGCTACTAGGTGTTAACCACACACACATCGAACTGCCAGATTACTCCCCCTTTTATTAGTTTTATGAAGGAGATGTCCAGTCACCAAGGCGCATGATATGTGTGTGTGTGTGTGTGTATGTACTCTGCTCAGCTCAGCGTGTTCGGTGTGTTTGTGTCTGTCCGACACCAGCATTTGTTTTCAAATGACCATGAACAATAATTTACACACATCTGGCTAACTCCATAGGTAGCCATGCGGGTGTTCCCAAAATAAATTAGTTTAATCTTAATCTCGATGTCACACACACACACACACACACACACACACACACACACACACACACACACACACACACACACACACACACACACACACACACACACACACACACACACACCACACACACACACACACACACACACCACACACACACACACACACACACACACACACACACACACACACACACACACACACACACACACACACACACACACACACACACACACACACACACACACACACACACACACACACACACACACACACACACACACACACACACACACACACACACACACACACACACACACACACACACACACACACACACACACACACACACACACACACACACACACACACACACACACACACACACACACACACACACGATTATCCGTCAAACAAAACAAAACCAAAACGTTGATTTATCTGTTTTCCCGGTTTTTTTCTTTCCGAAAAACCAAAAAACGACACCGGTTATTTTTTAAACGTTGTTAATATGTTTTGGATGCATATTGTTCTAGTATTTGTTCAGGCTGTTACATACAATTAGCCTCTGTTGCTCCTGCTGGTGGTGAGTAAATATTAAAATCAGTTAAAATTGACAACAGGTCCGCGACTTTTTTTTTAATGTATCTGCCGGTCCTTGGCACAATAAAGGTTGGGAACCCCTGCTATAGAGGATCTTTAAGTAGAAAAACACTCCCCTAGAGATAATGTTCTCCTCACTAGCTGTGAACTCAGTGTTTCCTTTTCTATTACGGGACAAATTCTCCACCTGAAAGAGGTGTTTTGAACTGAATGTATATGGGCGCAGCAAATCTGAAAATTCAAGTTGTTTTTTTAGACAAAAGCAAGGAATGTTCTGAGTGACAGCAGCTGATGGATAGGAAAAACTGGTTCAGAAAGACAAACAGACTGACTGAAAATGTGAACATCTGTCTTCCTTAGGCGCAGTCATCTTGGTGAAACAGTAACTCATCTTTAAAAAAGGACTCTAAAGGAATATAAAGTGCTGCTTAAAGATGTTTCCTTCTGCACTTTTTTTCTTGCGACAACAGGGCATGTTTGGTTTTTTTAAGCTGTTGTTGGCCTGTGGGAAAATGTAATCATAAGAAATGACTCTGCAGATAGAGCCATAAGAAATGAATGCAACTGATTATTTAATGTTTAATGTTGTTTTTATAAGCAATAATTTAAGCTTTGTTAGTTCCAGGTTTAATATGTGCAATAAGTTCATTTCAATAAGTTTTGCAATAAACATTGAACCAGTCCGGCCCTCGACTAGTACCGATGTTTTAATTTTGGCCCACTGTGTATTTGAGTTTGACCCCCCTGCTCTATAGCATCCTGAAAGAACTAAGAAATATTCAGGCCAATATTTGTAGATACATTTCCTCTTTCTTTTAACCTTCCTGTTATCCTCGGGTCAAATTTGACACATTCATAAGTATTTTTTTGTCGAAACAAGGTGTTATTTCATTTCATCGCCACACAAATCACATCATGATCACAACTTTCATTGAATTATGTGTTTTATATAAATTAGTAGCATCTGGTGTAATTATGTGCTGCCCATTTTAAATTGAAATGGTTTTCAAAACGGAGCCCTTGACATAAGACAGTGTAAGAATCCATCAAATGATGTTGCTCATCACTTAAAGGGGACCTATCATGCAAAATGCACTTTTGTACGTCTTTTATACATGAGTATGTGTCCCCGGTGTGTCAGGGAACTCACCAAGTGTCAGAAAACACAACCCTCTCTTTTCCTCCACACTCAAATCTCTAAAAACGGGGCCGCAACGGATCTGATTCAGACTGAAACAGATTTGAAATATCTCTGACGTCAGAAACGAGGAGCTCCGCCTATATGGCCAACTCTCCACCTATCAGGAGGAGACAGCCACGGCCATTGCCGTTCGAAAGCGCTGGAGTACATATGCCAGGCCTGTAGGTGGCGCTGTAGTCTGCCACAAAAGCAGCGAAGAAGACTTCTCAGATTCAGCCCTTGCAAAAACAGGGCTAAAAAAGAGCAAATAGAGCGAAATGAGGCATGGCTAAAATGCATGATCTGTTTGGGAAGTTTTGTTTCTCAAAATACTAGACATGTTTTATATAGGCATGGCCCTACAATATATTATTCAAATATATGATAGGTTCACTTTAACCAAGGTCGAAATAATTATTCTCTGACTATTTTAAAATCTTTTTTAGGGAGTGTAAATTCGTCATTTGACAGTCAATTTAAAAAGAGATAAGTAATGAATTGGAATTAACTTGGCTTAAAAGGTGTAACCAATATTTGGGTAATAATACTTTATGTTTTATAAACAGTCAAACCAGGACAAAAGTTGTACAGTTGACGGGAAGACAACACAGGGTAACAGAGTCCGAAGAGGAATAAGACGTGCAGCTCGGTGACTGTTGAAATAAGGAGGCGCTGGGAATGTGGGCAACATGATCTCCTCAGAATCACAAAGACAAGGGTTCTCAAAGCATATCTATATCACAATGAAAACATTACTGAGTCCTGAAATCTTGACTCCCAGTGCCAACAACCTCAGCATATGAACTGACCGAGTCCACTTTATGTTCCTTTCTTAAAGAAGTTAGGGTCCAGAGAGAAAGAACTTAGGGTCCAGAGGGAAAGAACTTAGGGTCCAGAGGGAAAGAACTTAGGGTCCAGAGGGAAAGAACTTAGGGTCCAGAGAGAAAGAACTTAGGGTCCAGAGAGAAAGAACTTAGGGTCCAGACGGAAATAACTTAGGGTCCAGAGGGAAATAACTTAGGGTCCAGAGAGAAAGAACTTAAGGTCCAGAGAGAAAGAACTTAGGGTCCAGAGAAAAAGAACTTAGGGTCCAGAGAGAAAGAACTTAGGGTCCAGAGAGAAAGAACTTAGGGTCCAGAGAGAAGTCCTCTACTAACCTTGGAGTAAAGCCCTCAGAATGGCCACGTCGATGTCCTGGTGATCCTCGGAGCTGATGTGAAACACAGTGATCTGTTTTCAAATAAATAAGATAGTCGTTATCAACACGTTCCCACAAACGTTATCCAGATGTTGTTTAAGAGTTTTATAAAAACCAACAATGGGAGCATCCCAGTCGTCTCTGTGGCAGATTTGGTGTTTTGTTTTTTTTTAGGAATTCTATCAAATCACTTCTTCTGCACTTGTTTGAAATGGCAATAAATAAAAACTGAACATGAATAATAAGTGTATACAAGTGATTACAGAAATGCATACCAATTCTTTGCTCTTCATGCACTCCATCAGAGTCTGAAAGAGATGGATGGCATCGCTTTGGCTGAAGTTGAAGGTTTTCTTGATGGTTGCGATGATGTCGGTCTCCACACCATCAGGAAGACTCCTGTCGAAGGATTTCAGAAAAACGTGGTTATGGTCACAATGCTCAAAACCACACTACAGCTGAAAAACACTTCAAATATAGGTTTGATCCGAGTGCTTTGATCTGTAGAGAGCACGTTATAGGAAGGTTTCTAATAACAGGACGAGTAATAGACTGAACATAGAATCCTGTGTATGCTTGGCCTTATATTGCTTATATAAATATATGTAAATGTATATATAATTCCTTTTATAGAGAGGCGTGTAAATATTGCATTTCATTGCTGCATATTTTTCCTTCAGCATAAATAAACATGGTTATACTATAGCCATACAAGTGTCTATTTGTTTTGTTTGGATATGTTATTTTCTGTACCTTTTTTTAATGTATTTTATATACCATCGTCTTTTACTTGATAACTAACCTTCAGAAGGAATTGATTCACTTTTAAATCGTATCTGCTCTGGGCAAAATCCAGCAGCAGCTAGTGGTATTTAAGATTTTGAAGGTCAGACAACAATCCATCACCGTCCAAGATAATTCAAATTATAATCAACTAAGTTTGTGAATATGGACACATTTACACTGAAGACATCAACTGTGGTCATCTGTGATTGTCTCACAACATCTAGCAGCACACATTTCTTTGACTTTCAGCAGATTACTTTCCAAAGATTCAAGATTCAAAGGGTTTATGGTCATATGCACAGTCACTACAGTGTAGATATGGCAATGAAAAACGTAACTCCCAGGCTCCTCCAACAATGCAACCTAATATATGACCTGCGCCATCGAATCAGTCGCATTGACCCGAAGACACATTTTGAGTTGTATACACTGTTGGAAAGAGGAGATTCCTAGCTTTCTAATGATATCAGGATTGTTTTTGAGAAAAAGGCCTTTAAAGTTCCCTCTTCTCTGGAATCCATCGATCGATTGATTATTAGCGGCTAGCAAATGATCAAAATACTACGGAGGGAAGAGATATTTTCATTTGGATTACTGGTCTGGGGGAAGCTCGCGAGTGTGTGTGTGTGTGTGTGTGTGTGTGTGTGTGTGTGTGTGTGTGTGTGTGTATACGTGTGTGTTTGTGTATTTTTGCGTTTGTGTGTATTGTGTTTGTTTCCCGGGGAAAACACTCACGAGAAACACGGCTGTTGTTGTGCTTGCTGTGACGTCAAGTTACTCCGTTCTCCGCTTGTAATTATGCCGAAGCTTCAAAGCTGTATTTATCATCCGAATTTGCCAAAACAAGTTTAATATTCTGAAAGCCAAGACTTTGTTTAATTGAAATCAGATGAAAACAAACTGTAACGGACCCTGCCGTGTTATCTATGATTACTATACGCCTTACATTCATAATGTCAGCCGGAGGGAGGGGGAGCAGGCAGCGCTGCGGAAAAGCAGAGTGGCGAGATTTTGGAAATAAAAGTTTCATATTCTGAAAGCCAAGACTTTGTTTATTTAAAAATCAAACAAAACACCCGAACCGCGAAAAACCTTTTTACGCAAATCCACGTTTTGAAATGAGCCGTTGCGACTTCCGACTGATTTCGATAGAGCGGGTCACAGATATGTAGGACATTAAACAATAAACAAATACAAAAATAAAAATAGTGCCAGAAGGAACAGAGTGGAGTAGAATATTAGAATAACTGCACTGTCACAGGTTCAGCTATATGTATCTCTCTTATAACGGACTGGGCTGCAGATGTGTTGTTAGAAATACTTCTGGGCCGGTTATAGATCAAAGCCGCTGCCATCAAAGGGAATGCAGAAGAAGGAAGTACAGCAGAGTGAATGACTCATCACTAACAGCATCACACTGCCTTTTCTCCTCTTGCTAACCCTTCAACCTTTAATCACTGCTTTCAACCACAAATCTAGATATTTTGTAAAAAACTTGAAACCTTGATTATCTTTAATTATCTGTAGAGTACTTCATACTTTATTCAGTTTCTTGATTCATTCCCTCCTTAACCATCCTCTGCCAAAGAGGTAATGTTTTAAGTGAGGTTTGTTGCAGGACAAAAGACACTGCCCCAATTCTCATGAAACTTGTTGGAAGGGTGCAGCATAGGCCGAGGATGATCCCGTACCTTTTGTAGAGGATTCAAAACAGGGGGCAGAGACACAAGTTGTGTTCTACTTTAATTAACACCCTATCATGTGAACACCCCCTCATGTCTGAACAACTACACAGCTGTCAATGTGTTGTTTAAGCGCTTGGAGAAATTACTTAAACAAAATATATTTTTAGTGTCCATGTTATTTCTACATTACAAAGTAAATCCCATACACAGATTGAAGTCAGAACAACGGCTTCCCAAGTGAGGCCACCAATGGGCCATGTTGTAGTTTGGGATTACACTTTAAATCAAGACTAAAGCCAACCACAGCTATCATTTTCTTCCCCAGCCCACCACTGTGCTCTGTGTGTGTGTGTGTGTGTGTGTGTGTGTGTGTCCTACCCTCCCTCCTCGGTCTGCTTGTGGACGTAGGCCAGAATGTCAGCAGCGCGGCCCGTCCCCTCACACACCACCACCGGGACAGGGGGGCTCTCCTGCAGGTACTCCAGCACCGTCAGGATCACATTGGGACCCCCCTCGAGGATCAGGGCCACAACAGGAACACCCTGACCAATTCCTTCAAGAAGGAAGACGGAGAGAGTGCATTAACTTTGAGTTTATGGTACATTTTTCAATTGCAGAATACAGCTCCAGTGACAGTTAGAGGCTGAGTTGATAGTAACCATGCTATTATTATCTAGTTTCCAACAGACTAAGACAAACTCACTTTGTAATAAAAGGGTATGAATTGCAAAGTTACTTTTCATGTATGACAACTCTCCAAGTATTGTGCATCATAAGCTAGTAATAGAGGAAGAATAAGATATCATTTCAAGTATTTTTTAAGAAGGGGGAACCCTATGAGCTTGGTCTTAAGGCACCGGCACAAAAGTTGAACACTGAGTGGAGTAGAATCTGAATAACTTTGAAGCTCCAAACAGCAAAATGACAAAAAATATTAAAATGGCATTTCTTTAAAAGACGCTATGGATTTTAGTAATTTAATTGGCTAATTGTGGTATTTTGACGAGGAGGAGCTGAGTAAGGCGATGGTTTTGGTCGTCTAGACACAAAAACAGTGTCACTGAATTATCTCAGAAGAGCCCCAGACTGCTTCTGCAGATGAAAAGTGATCCAGTATAATCTTTTGTTTCTCAAAAATCCAATCGAGGGACATCGTTGCATTAAAAGGTTTTTCTTACGTGCGTGTATTCTTTGGAGGTTGATGTGCTTCTCCAAGTCTCGCCGCAGTTGGACCTCGGCGCCGTACCGGCCCACTGTCCCATCATCCACCAGGAGGAAATGGGAATGCAGATTGTTGAGAACGTTTAGTTTGCTGAGAGGGTTCAGCAGCGTCTGATACGGAGCGATGATCTGCAGGGGGGGACATGATGACATATTAATAAACAAACATTGACAAAATAATTGCTGACCAGACATTAAAAGGAGATGTTATCCAGCAGTGAAACTATCAACATCTTTTCTAGAACAAATTAGATTGTGAGAGTTGCATCTTACGTCTCGGCCAATGAGATCATTCCGGTTTTCAAGGGCTCCCCAGGGTGCAATCCCAATAGTGCAAATTTTCTTTGATGATCTTGAGCAGTGTTCTTTGAGAGCGTCTCCCACATGCTTTGCCACACCTTTATGAAGGAAACATTAAACAATCAATAAACCTTTCTGTCTTTCCTAGACAACATTTGTATTGCTTCTTAACATTTGCCATCCTACACTTAATGGCATGAATCTATGAGCATTAGAAAGTGCGCTAAATATTGTGATTGCCGTTAACCACGCATGTAAGAAAGATGTTCCGCCGCATATGGGGAAAGTCGACAACACATTAGTCCTGGGGTTGTGTGCGAACCACAGTCCTGTGCCGATGGATCTCATGGATTCAGCAGTAATTTGTGATGCTGGAGACCATCCCAACGGGTCAGGCAGCCAGAGGCATTACAAGTAATCACTGGTGTGGGTAATTGACCCTGTGAGTAATGATTTAAACACTATGATCAGACCACAGCATCTTAACTGTGGCTGAAGACACACCTCGGCCGCGACACGCAGCCAAATGACACGCTTAGAGCCCGGCATTACAACTTCTGCTTCATCAGCGCAACACACACTGATGCTGGCAGTGTGCTTGTGCAGGTTGGAGCACAATGTAAGTGTGAGTGGGTGAGCATTAAGGGAATGTGTGAGCAGGGGTGGATTTAAGAGATTTAGCTGCCTTAGCTTTTCAATACTAACGATTCACAAACATTGTGTATTATTGTCAGGACTTAGACAAGGACAAACAGAATGTGTGTGTGTGTCTGTGTATGTCTGTGTATGTCTGTGTGTGTCTGTGTGTGTCTGTGTATGTCTGTGTGTGTCTGTGTGTGTCTGTGTATTGCATGTTGATTTTGTTAAAAACATTTGTAATTGACATTGTTGCCAACTCATCCGCATCTTGTCTTATTCAAAGAAAGTCATTGGCTAACGTATTTATTCATAGGTTTCGTTACCCAAATGATATCCGCTTGAAAGTAGGGCTGTGCAATTTAATCGATCCTGCGATATATATCGATATTTAGTTTTCCGAGAAAGTATCGATATTTCAGCCGCGGGTATCGATACATTAAGTCTGATAACTGTGTTCGTTATTCTCGCGTCCAGGAGAGAAGCTTTAAAAAGGAGACTAATTGAGTCTCTGAGAAGGTTCAAATGTATACTTTAATTAATAAAAAGCGCGGTAATGTTACAAGCAGAAGATGGTTCAGTCAGAAAAACAGCTGTGTTCTGGCTCTCGTGAGCGAAGGGAAGAGAGCGAGCTCCACCTTTCCAGCTGTTAAATATCCTCTGCTGGCTCATCCCTGTGGGCCGGTTGGCGCTGCTGGGGGCCGGCCCTCCACTCTCCAATGTTCGTTGTTGCGCATTACAGAGGATTCAGACATTGTACATTAAGTATATAACTAAACACGGCTTTTCTTCTCCTTATCTCTTTCATGACTTTTCATTTAATACAGTTTAAACGCTGTAATCAATACTCTAAAAATACCTCACGGCTGGTATCATTTCCGGTAGTTCCGAATGTTGTCTCATGCTACCCACGTCTGTAAACAAACGTATTCAAATAAACTGTACCTTCATTTAATATTCAGTAATAATAATATCTCGACGTCTATAGTTGTAGTGTTGAAATCAGTAGGTTTCGGTGTGCAACACTCCGTGTCATATCGCTACTAAATTCACCTCTATAGTAAATGGTATATTAGCCACATGCTAAATGCTAACCGGAGATGAAGGATTTTCAGAATAAAAGCTTAACAACTGGTTGTGCACAAGAACTTCTGGTTTTTCAGTATAAAACAGCATTTAAACTGACGGTATGTTTAAGGTACTTTATGCCATCAAAAACATTGATTTTAATTTCTAACAAGTCCCATTCAAATCCCCCGTGTTCCGCCACCTGCTGCACCTTTTAATTCTCCATTGTGATACTGCACTTTATGTACTTATGTTTCAAAGGCTTGTAAGCTACAGTTTGCACTGTTTCAATAAATGAAACTAATTTTCTCACCACATCTTTTGATTCATTTTGTCCAGCATTTGCAAGCTGTAGACTCTCTGTCAGAGCCATATATTGTATAATTGATGCTTTCAGTTTTCAGTTGAATTAATTCAATCCAAGTCAAGTCACTCACAAGATGTCACCAAAATCACACTGTCCCTTTAAAATCTTTCAGAAAATGATATAAGTGTATCGAATTATATCGTATCGAATCGTATCGTTGGCTGAATATCGTGATATATATCGTATCGTTGGCTGAATATCGTGTATCGTATCGTGAGATTAGTGTATCGCTACAGCCCTACTTGAAAGGCAGTTTAACATTCACACATTTGCTCACACATCGCTGCCCCTAACAATTACCCACAAATGTTTCCGTTAAAACTAACATAACGTCTCTCCTGTTGCCCACCTGTGTTGACCCCTCCGGTGAGGATCCAGGCCCCGGTGGTGACGGCAGCTTTGATGAGGCCCTTGCCCACCACCTGCTTGATGCGTGGGTGCAGCTCGAAGTTCTGAACCCCTCCATGGACAGAGATGAGGATCTTGGGAAGCTCCATATGCCAATCCTTCAGCATCAGCCGCAGGATGCTCTCCGGCCGCGTGTCGTGGGACACACGCACATACTGCAGACGAATGAACAGACACAAGATAAGCATGCTAACATAATGTGGAAAATAGCAGCATAACGTCACACCTGAGAAGCTAAGACCAACAGATGTGTGGTAGCAAGATGACTAGTTGATTGATGGACTCAAAATGTCAGCAATAGATTTGAATGATAAGAATAAGCAGTTATCAAGACTGGGGATAGACTTTGCGCCTGATTCTTTGTTATTGAGTTTGTTTGTCAACAATGACTTACTAATAACACGTCATTTCGCGATATAAAAAGAAAGTCATTTAGGAAAAACACCTACCTGTTACAGTAGTAACCAGTGTTAATGTATGAAAATAATTGTAGATTATGAGTCTACACCCTTAAAAACTGTGTAAGACATTTTTTCCAACATCCATATCAGTTATCACTCACAACATTACTTTTGACATGAACGTGGCCCCCAGCGGGTAAAAGACTGCCCTCCTACCTTGGCTCTGTATGAGTGAGACCCTCCCTGGAAGTTGATGACACCATAGGCGTCAGTAGGGCTGGCCTCTGTGTGTTTCTCCACCGACCACTCCTGCTCGGTCAGGTTGGGGTTCTCACCCAACTTCACGTCCGAGTACTTCGCGGCCAAGCTGGCCGTGAAGCCAACATGCTGCCGCACCAGCCGACCACAGCAGCATCTGCAGGGGCAAAAAAACAACGTTTAAACAATATCATGATATACTTAGATAATTAAATACATAGTAGCAGTAATGCTGCGGGACACAGCAGATACCAACGGAATATTAACAATAGCACATTTATGTTATTCTTAATTTATCAGACATTTTGCATGCATATAAATCACATTTACACTGATGTTTAAAATCAAGAAAGAAGTATCAGACTTTTACCTATTTTATTATAATGTATGCAGCCATCAAGTGCATATTGAGGACCGTTTGACATGGTTCCTAACTTGAGATGTTTTTTAAAGGGGACCTATTATGCAAAATCCACTTTTTCATGTATTTTATACATCACCATGTGTCCCCTCTGTTTAAAGAGATTCTGACAGTTTTAGGAAAAAATATTTGCTCACTTTTGGTCCTGATCCATTTATATAAAAACCTGTCTGAAAATGAGCTGATCAGATTTTGGCCACTTAATGATGTCTTAACGATTTGTTGGCTTGTGTAACCATTAGCCAATCATCAACCAAGGTAACCCCCCCCCCCCCCCCCCTAATCTCCTGCTAGAGCACCATTGTGTTATTTTTAACCAAATATCTCTCAGAGGGGCGTGGGGAGGGGCTCCTTATTTTCATCTAAAGTAACAGACAGAGAATCAGCACTTTGGAAACAGGGCTGAAACAGAGGGGATTATGGGATGCTGCAATGATCCGTTTGGTGTTTGGAGCCAAACACTTCAGAGACATGTTTTGTATATATCTGAGACCTATTAAAGTAATGAAAAACAGTATAATAGGGGACCTTTAAATCAACTCATGGAGCTAAAGTTAGCTAATAAGCTAACTAGATAACTAGCTATTTCTGGTCAAATCTGCTACCGACTGTAGTTACTTCAGATATGATGCTGGTTTGTAATAAGAAGCCTGGTTTGCCTACCTCAATCAATTAATTGGAGTTTTACCAATTATCACTGTAATGTAAACTGCATATGTGACTTGTAAGGATGTTGACTTGGCGATTCACCATTAACATCCTAAACATCCAAATACCGATTTGAACACTTACAATATTATATACAAGCATTATCATGATCAAATTTAAACTCACAATTAAATATAATGACAGAGTTTGACAAACGTTCAAAGACTGCAAATGAGGCTCATCTATGTTTTATTATTATAAAAAGCTGTTTTCACCCTTCCTTTAACGACTTTAGGAGAGATCGTGCATCCTGACACACAAAGCCTGACGTCACTGGTTTTCTGTTTCCTGGAATTAAACTGCTAAATAATTTCCCTGCAGGCCTTTTCTGGTGTAAAGTAACTGGTTAGCATGGATCCTCCCAGGCTAATCATGTCAAGTAACAAAGGGCGAGGGGAACAAAGGCAAAACAAATACTTACCGGACTAGCTGTTGGCAAATCTGGCATCCTGGAAGGCATCTAGAAGAAATTTCACAAGAAATGTAAATTTACACTAACAACTGAACTGTGGGCTGCATTTGCAATGACACAAAGACAGTCCGATTTGTCCTAGTGAGAAGGAATTGCTCTCGGTAGAAAAATGTTAAGGACATTAAAGAAAGTTATCTGTTAGCCGGGCATGAAGCCCAGTGAACTGGCCTTTTGCCAAGAGAGCGTTCTGCCAAGTAGACTCTCACTTTGATCAATCATAAGCAGGCCCAATGTTAAAAGGACACATGTTCACCAACACCTCCGAATATTCTTCGAGCAGCAGCACGTATTGTAGTTAACTGAGAAACTCGAGTGGCAAATAATTGATGTAAAAGAAAACAACCGGGTAAAGGTAACTTAGTATCATTGTGAGTTGACAGGAAAAAAGGAAGGAATGCAAACTCTTGAAACAGTAACAGAAAAGGCTTTCACACAAAGAAGGTGGTTAACCAGTAGATACTAAATACACTGTGGGAAACAACTTCACTCTAAATAACAAACAAAATGTCTATTTCATTCTTGACATTTATACCGGCTGCTGGACCTTTAATGGTTTTTCATGAGCCTCTCATGTACACATATTATACAAGTGACCTGCATGCCAAGCCAATAGGAGGCTCTATACAGTTTTAACACGGCTTTGTAAGATTCCAGCATCAAATCTTGCCTTACAGCACAAACCCAAACACACAGTAAATAATAGTTGTTAATGTTTAAAGTTAAAAATGGTTTGAATTTTAAAAAAGGACACAAAATAGGATATGTCATTGACTATAATACATTGTTCAAATTATTAAATTCAAACTTCCTATTCAGTTCAGTTGAAGAAGGCATTGTGCAAATGACAAAACACATCGTAAAAAAAACGACTGTAGTTCCTAGTATTACAAAAGGCTTCCTAAAATACATCAAAACAAGAACAAATCAGGTCATGCCCATTAGAAGACTTCCTAAAATAAACAAGGGCAAAAACAAGGCAGACCGTTTAAAAAGGTTGAAAAAAAGGGCAGTTGTTAAAGCAGAATAACAGAGGAAAACACCCCTAAGAAGATATGATACACTTCCCCTGGTCTTCCCCCGCACTAAACGCTGTAATAATAGTGACAGACGTAAAGATTAAAATGATGTGGAAACAGACTTATTTACTCTTTGGAGAGTGGTGGTTAGGGTTCGGGCCTACTTTAACACACACCATACAATTACACCGTTTCCATGGCAATAACTACATGCACACTACAGCTGAACGTCGGAACACATACCTGTGGGGGTCCTTTGACACTGGAAGTATGTACACACATTCCCGCTTGGTGAAAGTGCTTTCTATCCAGGATTTCTGGGACTGTGGAAAAAAGAGAAACAGTTGTGAGCAAAAAGACAGCAGCTGATGTTGTTCATTTGTGTTTATTGTTTGCATTAAAAGGTTTCCAGCTGCTAAGAAAATCGTCCCCCGTGGAGGTTGAAAACAATCAGTCTAGCAATTGAGTGCTTGTACAAACCGTGCAGACATTATGGGCTACGTAGTTTCTCAGAGGCGAGGAAATCAAGTAAAAAGAACATGGGGATAGATAAACAAAATGGTACACAGTCACAGCTCAATTTGCTTTGAAAATATTGACATTTGGGGGCTTTTAACCCCTCATTCAGTCAGTTAAAATGAAAGGGATTAGACATTTTTAAATTAAAACAATCCTATCATAATAAGAGCTACAGGTGGCTGCCATGGTCATAAGAAAATAAACTAATTCTGTGTCACTATTCCTTTAAACAGGGATTTATGTTCCAGGAATTTTCAATTAAATGCCTCATGCCTTATTGTTCACAGCTCAAAAGCGATTAGCACCAATAATCCCTCCCAGCACAAAAGAGGGAAACATGCAAACACCGTCACCTGCTTCACACCGGAGCCGTTCAACTATTCCCGAAACTTAAACAATAGTGTTAGAACCAGCAGGAATGGAAACGTTGCGACCCTGCAAGTCAATTTCTGCTTGGGCAAATGATCCTCAGAAGTCAACATTCCCACGTAGGGAAATCGTAAATATAGATGATTTAGAGACAGAAAAATCAAGCGTAAAGGAATAGTGCCAACCCATAAAAGTTTCTATATTTCAACCATTGCATCTCTTCCTAAAGTCACGTATCTCTCGTGTCAAAAGTTCCATCTATAGTTCTTAACGTTGTAAGCCCCCTACAACAAACCGCGGTTATACAGAAACATTTAAACAAACAGGTCATCCCGACGCTTGACCAGCAACACCGTGTACCTGGAAGTCCTCATCGTCATCTCTGTGTTTAAGGGTTTTGTACAGGAACATGCCAAGGCTCCTTCATGCATCTCCTGGACAAACCACGGTCACCACAGCCTCTCCTGAGCACTGGATCATCAGCAACAAATCACTTTACTTCTCTCACTCTCCGTCGCTCAGAAGAACATTTCCATACGGGTCTCAAAGTTAACGTACAGTTCCGGCCCGAGTTAAAAGCTGAGCGATCATTGAGTGATGCAGCCTCCGAACTCCATCCACGGTTAATCTGTAAGAAGGCACTGGGGGTGGGGGGGGCAGATGAATGTGTCTGAGACAAACTAGATATTATACTAAGACTAGGGAGAAAGGGGCGTGGGAGAAAATGAATGGATGGGCAGAGGCCTCAATGATATACACCTCGTTGTCTAGTGAGGCCACACCACCAACTGTGATTAACGCTGCTCACACAAAACCTCTCCCAACAACACAGGCCCCCACACTTAGTGTATATAGACTATTCTGCACTTTCATATTCTGTTTCTATTATATTTTATTTACTTGTTCTATTGTATCTGTGTTATTGTGTTGCACTGTTGGAGGAGCCTGGGACCTAAGATTTTCATCGTCATAACTACACTGTAGCTATGCACGAATGACAATAAAAGCCTTGAACCTTGAAATTGTTAAAGGCTAAATACGTGTTGAAATAACATTTTGAATCAAGTATTGTGGCGCTCAAGAAATATCCTGACCTACAAATCGTATTCTAGAGACTTTTACAAAACACATTTGTTAGGTCCTCTGAAAAAAAAAAGATATATATGTATTCCTATCACACCATGATCATGTTGATACTTTTTGGGAACAATGGGGGAAATATGTACATTGATTAAGTTTAAGTGGCCATTCAAGGTCGGCATTTTTTGGCACTTCTCATAGGCGTCCAGACTCAGACCCGGAGTTAGCTTTGATAAAACCACAACAAAGACTGACCGCTTCGTTCCATTGTGGCTCTGATATATGACTCCCACCACACCATAAGATACAGCTAAACACCACACCATACCAAATGAGGATCACATGTTTACATAAGGCAGTGGTTTAGATGTTTACACTTTTGATGAGTGGAAACAATTCTACATTGGGCGTGTCCACACAAAGCAAACTTACTATTAGATTAAACTTTATCCTTCGTACAGAAGTGACCTGGGAGTCATCCTGGACACCACCTTCTCTTTCCAGGCGCTGTTACCAAATCCGCCTTCTACCATCTCAAAAACATTGCCAGACTCCGGCCTTCACTCTCTGACTCAGTGGCAGAAACACTTATACACGCCTCCCTTCATCACATCCCGTCTGGACTACTGCAATGGAGTCCTGTCCGGGGGTTCCCAGCAAAACCCTGGATAGGCTCCAATACGTCCAGAACTCTGCCGCCAGGCTTCTCACCCGCACCAAGCCATGGCAACATATCACCCCCACCCTCATCCACCTCCACTGGCTGCCGGTCAAGTCCCGGATTCAGTACAAAACACTCCTCCTCACGTACAAGTCCCTCCATACCCTCACCCCCCAGTACTTCGGACCTCCTCCATCCCTACACCCCTTCTCGGAGTCTGAGGTCCTCAGACACGGGCCTGCTCTCCATCCCCCGCTCTCGCCTACGAACGGTTGGTGACAAGGCGTTCAGTGTTGCGGCCCCCGCCCTCTGGAATGCACTACCTGCCGAGATCCGTAATGCTGCCTTCCTGGAAATCTTCAAATCATCATTAAAAACACACCTGTTCACCCTGGCCCTTGGGCCCTAGCCCTTTCTTGGTCCCCCGGCTTCCTTTAATTTTTGTTTGCCCGTTGATTGTCTGTTTTGTTTGTCCACCATGTACAGCAGCCTTGGGACCCTTGAAAGGAGCTATATAAATATAATTTATTATTATTAGAAGTGGCATCCCTGCTGGAGAACATTTATGAATTTGGAAATGATCACATCTAACACAATAGTCTAATGTCAACAAAGGTTGCTTTGATATTGGCAGTTCATCTTCATTTAAAGACTCACCAAAACGACATTATTCTTCCAAGCTTCAGATGTCTAAAAGTTTAAATTGTGTGTGACCCAGCTGAAGATGTGATGCGTGTTATGTTTTTGTAAGTGTGAATAATTATCTAGGCAGAGGGAATGATCTCTTTCAATAAGTATTTATGTTTTGTCTGAACCTTGCCCTGAACCCTTAGTTAAGCACAGTGAAGACAAACCTTCAATTACCATTTCTTTTCAAAACCACTTATTTAAAAACTAACTAGAAGGTTGATAATGATCCCTCAATAAGAACAAAACAAACTGTCTGCATACACATGGCACAGTTATGAAAGAAAGAAAATGGGTTTGCTTTTTGGTTAAAAGGATTATATTTTTTCAAAAAACAGTAAGATGAGAAGTTTATGCTTTTAAGCTAAAGCCAGCAGGACATGTGAGCTTAGCACAGGTATGATTTCATTAAAAAGTCAAATGTTATTACTCAGATTAAATACATGAGTTATTTGTCTGAGAAATTAGCAATAGTTAATCATATGAAAAAATAAATGGGTTATGTATTTTATCAGTTTTATGGCATAGTGTGTGTAATTCTAATGCTCGAATGATGTGCACATATCTTCAGTTACTAATGTATATGGGGGGGGGGGATCAGAGTGTATGTAAGTTGCTTTGACATGTAAAATATAATAGAAACAATAATGACTATATTGTAGTGTTATTATGTCACTGACCCTACAGTGCCCCCTTGTTCGCTGACTCAGTGTCTGCGTTAGATTTCCTAAATGACGCTGGTGTCTTCTTGATCTAACACACTCATAATGAGGCAGATGAAACAAGAGAGTGCCCCGCCAACCTGTAACCATGGTACCTGAGAATGTCAGGCAACAAAAGATTTGTGAACCGCTGCCAAAAACACACACACTCTCCAACTTCCTCGCTGCCTCCCTTCCCTCTTCCTCTGTGGGCTCCAAGTTTTATGATTACTTTGTTCCTGTAGGAAATATACCCAAGTACCTTTGGGTTCAATAATGAAGGATGCTGAGAGTTCTGTTGGTGTGCGTGCGTGCGTACGTGTGACTGTGTGTGTTCAGCCACACCTTTAGTGGAAGTAAATGCACACACATGCGCACACACACACACACACACACACACACACACACACACACACACACACACACACACACACACACACACACACACACACACACACACACACACACACACACACACACACACACACACACACACACACACACACACACACACACACACACACACACACACACACACACACACACACACACACACACACCACACACACCACAACACACACACACCACACACCACACACACACACACACACACACACACACACACACACACACACACACACACACACACACACACACACACACACACACACACACCACACACACACACACACACACACACACACAGAGAGAGAGTTCTTCCTTGGCTGGTCGACCCATCATTCCTCTGGCCCTGCCTGACGTATTACGGAGCGAGATAACATCTGGCTTGGTAATGCTACTACCCGTCAGGAAGACTGGAGGATACGGGGTCAGCGCTGTGAGCCGCAGCCAAAGAGACCAGCGCTTCTCAGAGAACTAGAAGCAATTTCATTTTTTCCACCAATTTACTTCGAGAAATTGGTGGAAAAAATGTACTGGCTTCAAGGAGCTTTCCACTATTTATAATGGAAGATATAAATAAGGTTTGGGTTCACCAATTAAAAGAAATGGAGCACATTTGTTGAACTGCATCACCTTTCTGATACATATTTGATTATTAGTATGGATTTGAATGACAAGAGGTACATTTGAACCACTGTGATATGGTTTGTAACATGGACAAACAAGTAGGGCAACCTGCACGGTACAATGAGCTTAGGGTGCTGTCAGGAGTGTTTTCTTGCTTTAACCTTAATTCCTCACCGCTGTTTCTCTTTGCATTAAGTCACATCGCAGCTGTACAACTGAGGTACTACACATCTGGTTCAAGGCACACTGGCATCAAACAATTTGATCAATTGGAGCT